CCTATGACATAGCACATTTTATCTACTATAATGAGTAACGACGTGCTATAACTCCGTTATTAGTGCAATGTAGAACTGATAAGAAACTCCCAAGTAGATACTACTAGAAGTAATATCCACCAGCGAACTTGCTCTATCCACCACACTTGATCCATAGAGAATTAAAATTCCAACCAATGTTGGTAATTTCGACCAACCATCCACTCTTTCCGAGTCCTACTTCCATTTTGACATAGGAAGTAGCTAAAACCTCCAATGACATCCAAGTATCAATTTTCCATCTTGCTAACCAGGGTCAGCTTCAACACTTCAAGTTGACCTTTCCAATTTCCTTAGTAATAGCAAGTGTTATGTTTACACATGCTAACACTCAACTAATTTCGCACTAATCAACGAAGGTTCTATTACCAAATCGGTTGATAAGATTATCATCCTCCCAATAACTTCCACCAGACGAAACTTAATGCAAAGTTTGAAGCACCACATCCATCCATTTAAGCCGTCTCGTGAGCCGTGCTATTTGTATGAACTGATATCTTACCAGTTCCAAATAGACAAAAAGAGACTGATATAATTTTATCAGTCAAGCAAAATCCCAATCAGAATCCTAACCTTTGTGTAGAATCAGCAATCTCTCGACTAAAGCCGTGGAAACTACTCTATCATTCCCACTTTAGTATAAGAAATGGCTGTAAGGATCTAATGATCTCTGATGGTCCATCCGAATTATCTAATAGATAATAGACCTTGGGATCACTGTGTCCCTCTTCCTGCCTGTCCTCATAACATCTGTTTCATTCAATGAAGCATCATATTCCTACTAGGATAAATAAAGAACTAAGAGTTGTGAACCTCAGTCCTTATATCCTCCTCCCAACTTGACAACTTACCGATATAGAAAGTCAATCGATAATTCTATTTATCATAAGTTAACTAACTACAACATTTCCACATACACCAATGCACCTCCACTTTATTTAGGTGTTTGGTCTCACCTCTATGTCTTTGACATCCCACTTCTCTAACACAAGTAAGGGTCTATTAGACTTCCTGTCTAACTTCAAAAAATATGGAATCTTTCCGTCCTCCAAATAGTCAGCAAGTACCGAGTAACAACTACTTGTTGCGAACTGAGACCTAAAAAAAAATTCCCATATTATTTATGCAAATGAAGAAGCTTACTTCCTTCTCGATATGCAACTCCAGCAACGCCTCCTAATGACACCCCCTCATGAAAGAAAAATCTTGTTTTAGGATAAACTGATGAATAGTTAATTCGTATACTATCTTCAGTCGGTGGCGTTCCAATAAGTACCTAAACCATTACAAGATCCTCCTGCTGACTTGGGAATACCTTTTAAAATTCCCGAGAAGCTATTCAGCAAAGTCAGTTCCTCCGATAAATCAGCGTGGCTTTTAAAGTATATCAAATGAATCTAGATTATTTGACTCATACCACGGGGTTAATTATCCCATCCTGAACACATACTATAACCACCCATGTCTAGGTCCCTTAGGTTGGCTAAAGTTAGGTATACTTACCAAATCCTATGACCACATGCCCCAAAAATCCTAGCGTAATGAACGTTATTCCTCCAAAACGGTAGTTGATTGATCACTCACTTGTTTCCCCAAATAAACCGTATTCCTGATCCTGAACAATTAACAAAAAGGAAACATATAATGCACACACAATAAAACATAATAAAATCTACGTAAGACATCGTTCCTCCTTACAAAAAAAATCTCTTTTAGAAATCAACTTTACCTGATTGGTTCCCAATCTCCTTTTCCAGTTTCGGAGGTAATCAACCAACCTCAAAACATAAGCTCCAACCATAGCTCAAAACTAAATCCATTTACCTCAGCAAATTCCAAAGGCTTAACCTTCATCCTCCTTATACGCGGAATGCAAACCGTGTAATGTAGCTTAATAAAGCCACCTAGACAGTCACAACCTAATCCCCATACTCCTCGGAACGTGATATAAAATTATTGCTTCGTTCTGAGAAGAACTCCATCCGATCCTAATCCCCTAAAGTATATATATACATATATATATATATATATATATATATATTATTTTTTTTTTTTCTACCTCTTTTAAAGGTAAAACAAAAGGTTAACTATATGTAGGTCGATCCACACCACCTGTACAAGTTTCGTTCACTATACTATTGGCGAACAAAATCACCATTGTGCGATCCTTGATTTTCAAGATTCAATACCCTCTTTCTTGGGTATGTTGAAATCTCCTCCACTAGAATCCTCTTCGGACTCCTAATCCTCAGTTGCCTCTTTTATGAGCACAACTGAAATCGTGTTGGCCCCTTTATGCGATGACCTAAAACATACTCCTAAATCCTTCATTGACTTATACTTTTCAAAGTAACGCCAACCAGAATTAAACCTTCGATCCCAAGTTCTGCTTCTGACAAAGAACTTGATAACGTACTCCTTTACTCCTTTGGGTCTGTATCATTTTCGCCTTGGACCCCATCCCCCTCCTAGTGTCAACCATTCTATTATTATGAAATATAATTGATATCAGCTGCTCCTCCTAACGAATCGTAAAAGAGTACAACGAATCCTAAAATGGCTTTAAGTTTTTAAGAGACGCAACGCGGAAGTCATATAACGAAAGACACTCCTAAGGACACTAGAACCTGGAGTATTCTGATACCAACTGTGATACCCCTTGGTTCTAGAGTCACGGGTGATCAAGTCCGAGCACAGATCCGAGGGATATCAGACAATTAATATGTAAACAAGTAAGAGTACAAAATGAAATAAGAATAAAATAATACGCTGAACGGAAATCTAAATATAAAAATCCCCCAAATAAAATATTATAAATTAATTTAATTTAATTTTCCAATCCTTACAACTCGGGAATCCATCCAGAGGACCTATAATAATCCCAAATGAACAATAATTACAAAACCAAAATCCAAAACTAAAATAAGAAATGAAATTCTAAGTAGTCGGAAGAGTGAGTGTCTGTATCTGCATCATCACGATCAAGCTCTAAGCCTGGTACTGACGAACACCTGAAAAATAAGAGTGGGTCAGGCCCACATGCAAGTTCCATCCTACTACAATCCATACATAAACTCGATACGCAGATACATCCTAGATAGCTCGGCAATATCTAAAATAGTCCATATATATATATCACACACACACACACACACACACACACACACACACACACACTCACCATAGGATGCTCACTAGCCTATAACATAGTTCAACCTGGGTAGAAGGTAACATATAAAACACGCTTTCCAGCGGCCAATTACCTAGACCTACCAGGGAACATCAGCTACATCTAGTTACTCAACCTTTGCGATATACGCACCCTAACCGTGATCAGGAAACTCAAGCTCGTATCACAGTATCATAAGTATATATATAATATCTTTCCTAATACATAAAAAATAAAGCAATCATCTGTTATGTCGTTCAACTGTTTTAGTTGACAGGACATGTATCCACGTAGGATTTAATTGTTTTAGTTAATCCATTCCGTATGTATGAATGGGTAGGAATTAACGTTTTGATTTAATTCGTCCCTCCATATGCTACCGTCCCATACCGGTGCATATAATGCATATGATCCATAAATTATGCACACTCAAATGAACATCAAGTATATCCAAAAATCAACATAATAGAAATCAGATATAGATAAGATCATATCATGCATCCAGTATATGATTATAATTATAGATCATCCTTTTAAATTCTTAAAATAATAATAAACAATTTAAAACCCTAAGCCTAAACTATAAATACAACACATATAAATTATATAAGCAACCAAAAATTACACGTCAATTAAGTTACTAATAATCAAATATTTAAATTAACTAATAATTAAATTAAAAACAATTACAATTAATTTAAACAAACACAATTACCAATTAAGCAAATAAAACCATTAAACACATAGCCAGATAATCATATTTAAATGCACATAAATCAAATAATCAATTAATCAATTAAAATGCACATAAAATAAATAAATAAATTCCGGTTATATCTTTTTGAGAATTAGGGGTATTACACAACCTCTCCCCGCTCCTACACCAAACTCGCGCGGGTTTTTATTACACAAACCATTCCCACCCAAGTAAACTAAACGGTCCCCCAAAATTGCTAAAAACGGGGCGAGGTGGGGCGGGTAATTGCGGGGGCGGGTTAAATTGTCATTCCATTCCCATTCTCATTCCATTCCCACTTACATTCCATTCCATTAATGCACACCAAATGTAACATAAGGGTGTTTTCGAATTTTTATATCTTAATAGTGACTTTAAGCCCTTTTTTTTTTTCAAAATTAACGGACTTATGACATAAACCCTTCTTTACTCATTTTTTTTCAAATTTAATGGAGTTATATACGAAAAATAAAAGATATGTGTATTATTTGTCCAAAATTAAAACATGGTGTTTAGTAGGAAGGAAGGAAGAGATGTGGAGAGAAAATAGAAATGAACGAACAAGCTTACTTTGTTTGGAATAAATGAGAGAAGGCAAGTAGACTATTATTATATAAGTTTTAAGTTAAATACTATCATAAATTATATAAGTTTTAAATTACAGTCATATCCTTTATAAATTATAATATTATAAATATTATTGAATATAATGTTAAAAATAATTAAAACTTTATATTTTCTTTTCTTTTCTTTTATCTAACCAAAAAAAAAAAAAAATACACAATCTCTTATATCATCCGTCTCTTTTTCTTTTACTTTCACCAATTTTTTGAACAAGGTATTTTTCTCACTCTGCCGAAGAAATTACTACTTACTGCTACCACATATGGTTATATAGAGCTCACAAAATGTCGGGCACTTGCCGCACTTGATTCACTTCTTTCCATTCGATTTTATGTTTTTTTGTTTTTGTAAAATATTTTAATTTTTAATAAGTAAATAAATGTTTTTCTTTCTTTTCTTTTCCCCTCTATGCAGATGAGATACCAAAACAATAAGTAAGAAATTGAGGCATGTGCTTTATTAATAAATCAACAAGAAGCTCTCCCCAACCCCGCGTAAAAGAGAGAGAGAGAGGAGAGAGAGATGTGAATTGATCCGATCTCCAACTCCATCGCCAAGCTTTGTCAATTCTCAGCCTAAGCTCGCCGAGTGAAGGAATTGAAGCTTCTGAGAGAGAACTGAATTTGAGAGAGCCTTTTGTCTTTGTCTCCGATATGCATAAAACGGCGCAAGCTTGGTTCACCGGAGGCCCCAGCAGTGGCAACACCGACGATCTGCAGAAATCTTCGCCGTCTCTGCTTGCAGATTGGAATGCTTACGCCGCTTCCAAACCTTCCGACGAATCGGATTCTACCGGCTTAGGCTTCGATCTCGAAGCCGCTGTCGGAACCGCCAAAGATACGGTCTCCGGCACTTTCAACGTGTAAGTATTTCCTCACTCAATTATTATACGCTACTGCAGTTTCCTCTAATTTAGGGCAGTGCTCAATTAGTCACTTTCCTGTGTTTCTGAATCTGATTTCGCGTATTTACATCTCTTTCCATATGTGAAGTTATATTTATACATATACGCTTTTTTTTTTTTACTCAAATATGTATGGATCTAGACTAATTTGCAGAATTTTGGATTATGGTTTTGGAAATTGGACTGTTATATTGGAAATTTGGAATTGGTTGATGCATTTGGTATGTGATATTTGGTCAAGAGTCTGGAAATGTTTTGAATAAAGTGTTCTCATGTAATTTATTATAAGATCCATTAGTGGGCTAATTGAATAGCATTAACACATGTCAAATGTGTTAATGAATATACTTTTGGATTAGTCATTGGTTAGCTAGTCGGAAAATGTTTTGTTATGACTAATCATATAGCATTCATTAGTTGTTGAGTTCAAGAACACGATGGATGATTTAATAAAGTATTCATGTATATATTTTGGTTACAATATTAACAAGTTAGCAGAAATATTTTGTAGACAAAGATGAAACTAGTCGAGTCTTATAATTCATGATGCAGGGACACTAGTGAATGATGAATTGTAATTGAATTGTTGAATAGCCTATATGTTACCGATGACCGGATTCAAATCCCGTTCTCCATCAAAAGGGGGAAGGTTAGGAAAACAAGTAATGCTAGAAAAGAGAAGTGCATAACCAGCCAAACAAATAATTTAAATTTCTAACCTATTTATACTTGTACTCTGGTTGTCATAGTTCACATTTACTATTGAGCTTCTTGCATTACATAACTAACATATTTTCCATATATTATGCCTTAAATTACAACTTGCAGTTGTTCTAGTGATATATAACATTTTCCAAATTGTGTTTCAACTAAGATTGTTTATGTTACTTACAGGAAAGAAAGATGGTAAATTTTGATATCTCCATCCTAATTTTTTGGTTCTTTCCTCTTTTCATTGTGTCTATAAGCAATATAGGGCATAGTAACAGACACATTCCAATCCATCTCTTAAACATTCATTACTATGCATCTGTAGCTCATGGAAAATCTGCTTCAATAAGTTTTCTTCATCTCGGCACTGATACTTCTAGTCAATGTATTGATATCTGGAATGACAACGTATGTCACTTTGATTGCATGCCTAAATCTAAATTTACATTTTGGTGTATCCATTCCTTCTTAAAAGTAAATTATAAAGTCAAAAAATCTAATAATGTTATAAGCTTACTACCTAGGTGATTTGCTTGCAAATAGTAGGGGTGTACAAAGAACCGGTGGAACTGGAGAACCGATCGGAACCGAACCAAACCGGTGCTTCGATTCCAGTTCCGGTTCCAAATTTGTGGAACCGGTGAGTTTCGGTTTGGTTCCAGTTCCAGATCCTTAGGAACTGAACCGATCTGAACCGGTTATATATTATATACAATATATATTTTTAATTGTATAATTATATAATTACAATACATAATGATAATATATATCACCGTCACAGACCACTAGGCACTAGATTCTTACAGGTAGTCTTTGACTCACAGCTAATACAGCTATATACCAAACTACCACACCCCAAACATAATGAAATTCATTTAACTCACTTCAGTAACCCTAGGACTCCCTAGTCAGTACTCTAGTTTCTAGATCAGTTTTGCATATACACAAATATCCTCTCCATGGTTGACGGTCTCTCACTCTCTCAGATCCAGACATACATAGATTCAAACCGTAGATGTTGATGACTGATACACAACGAAAAATCCACTGATTTTTTGGATCAGACGCCACTCAGGCCTCAGCTCCAAATCATAGTCTCACTGCCGTGATGCCGTCAACTCTCAGATTCTCCATTGTCGTTGACACGGTTTTACCTTGTGGAAAATCCACTGATTTTTTGGATCAGACGTCTCTCACTCTCTCAGGCCTCAGCCCCAAATCACAGTCTCACTGCCATGACGCCGTCGACTCTCAGATTCTCCAATGTTGTTGACACGGCTTCACCTTACGTCTTCATCTTACGAACCCAGTCAACTTTTTTTTTTTGAAGAAGTAAACAAATTTTTTCTCAAATTTTATGGGCTCTTATTCTGATTTGAGCAGTGATAATGGAACCGAACCGGACCGGTCTTCACGGTTCGGTTCGGTTCCATGTCCCAACGGTTCCAATTCCATTTTCTAGAAACCATTGGGAACGGTTCGGTTCCGGTTCCGCTAGGAACCGTACCGAACTGGACCGTGTGCACCCCTAGCAATAGTAAGAATTCGATACCTTAATATATCAAGCAAAGAGAAATACCCTAAAGAGGATTCCGATCTTCTAAATTTGTTAATCAAAATCTGATACCATGGCCTTTCCAAACAGTGTGTCACGTAGGGACAGAGCCCCTCATATCCCACTGTATTTAACTGGAAAAACAAAGCCTCGCCTCATTTACATAGGTGGTTTATTTCATATGTTGGTTATCTGGATGGTTGGACATGTTTCTTACGAGTTGAATATGTAATGGCAACCTGACCTTTTCCGTAATTTCTGAATAACAGTTCTCTATTAGTTGGCATCATTGAGATACTTTTATTGGCTTGATTTTTGTCCCTTCTTTTTCTCTAAATACCTTTTCTTTTCCAAATAAGAAATTCTTCGTATTTCATTTTCATTTCCTTTGTTAGACAATCACTTTAATACCTTCCTATTTATATATATATATATATATATATATTTATTTATTTATTTACCCCCGTAATTAGTCATGATCACTATATTCATCTTCTTCTTCCCACATTTATTTCTGTTTATTCTTTTAACATTTTTTTTTGGTGTCATATAGACATAGTTTAATTATTTTCATATTTTCCTTCTCAACCTGTATGTCTGACAAACCTATACAACTTGTTTATGCTTGGAGCCTTGGACTCTACTAGGAGGCTATGTCTACAAGTGAAAAACTCTTTCTGCTCATCGAAATTTCGTAACTTGATGCTTCTAGATTAGTCTTTTTAGAAAGTGAAAACTAAAATATCAATCAGCTGTGAAGCTCAGTCTAGCTTTTTCTTGCTAACCATGATAAAATTATTCTTGTAATATGATGGATGGTAAATTGTTGATTTTTTGTATAGAGTTTCGAAAGGAGTCAGGGACTTGCCAGGGAACTTTCAGTCTGCCACTAGCAATGTCCCTTCTGGAAAATCGCTCATGTATTTTGGTGTACTCCTAGCCGCTGGTGTGTTTTTCATCTTCATTGCATTTACCATGTTCCTTCCAGTCATGGTATTGGTCCCTCAGAAATTTGCTATCTGCTTCACTATTGGTTGTGCCTTCATCATTAGCTCATTCTTTGCCCTGAAAGGTCCTAAAAATCAGCTTGCACACATGTCGTCAAAAGAGGTAGCTCAGCAATTCTTAAAAATCTGATCCGCTGCAAACATGCTTTTGCTTATCGTTAAAAAGAACTGTTCTCTTTTCCTCTGCCTGATTTTATGCTTAAATTTTTTCTCTACAGAGGCTTCCTTTTACACTGGGATTCATTGGCACCATGGTGGGTACGATTTATGTTTCCATGGTGCTTCACAGTTATGTTCTCTCTGTGCTCTTCTCTGTGTTACAGGTATCAAATCTCTCTTTTCCCATACAATTTTCCTTGTCTTTCTAGTTTATATATTTATTTTGTCAAATGACACTAGGAAAACTTATAAAAGAAAAGGACTTGACCTAGAAAATCCTGCAACCTGCTTGCTCTGGTTGCAGATGGGATCTGAGCATGCATTAAGGCTGAATAAATCATGTCCTTGAAGAGGATTTGCTACATGCTAGCTAACCTACTTATAATTGCAAACTGAAAATTGCTTTGATACATGGCGTTGTAGGTTGTGCCCCCACTTTTTCCTGATTTTGCACAATGACTCCGTTTCTACGGAAGAGCAAAATTAATTACCGAAAGTGATTGTATTGAAATTTCTTATTTATGCATTAGTATTCACAAATATTGTTACCACTTCAGCTGGCTGGTCCTGTTTTTATTGTGCAATGGACCCATAAAAGTATTTAAGCACAGGCCAGCATTGGCATTAACCTGCCCCAATTGAAGTTTGCTTAATTTTACCATTGTAATGTTTTGCTTGATCAGGTCATTTGCATCCCAGATCTTGTCTGATCTTCCTGGACCCTGTTGTTATCTCATTATACATAGTACTACTATTACCAGTGTCCTCTACTTTCTCTTTATGTTTGCTTCACTTTTTTCTTTTTTGCATTTTCTCATATCACCTTTTCAGTATTTGCTATGCACTTAGTGTTTTCAAAATAAATTCTTAAAATATTCTTGGAACTTTTTTGCTTTCATTCAACTTGATGGAAATATAATATTGATATGTAGAAGATTAAATGAATACTTTGGTTCTTTAATTATATAATTTTAGTGGGATTGTGGGTGAGTGTGGGGTTAAGGCTATACAATTATCTCACATCTTACCCACTTAATATGGCATTGTTACCATTGCGATACGTGCACTTTGTAATTGGAATAATGATTTATTTCATCTTCATTCCCTTAATTTACTTGGTCTTTTCAGGTCCTTGCACTGTCGTACTATGTTATCTCATATTTCCCTGGGGGATCAGCTGGGCTGAAGTTTCTTTCTTCGACACTTACCTCAAAATGTTTCGGGAGATGACATTATTGTCTGCCTTATCTAATATTCTTTTGTCAGTTGCCTGTTTTTATTGCTATTACTACACGTTAGATCTGACATGTTTCAACTAATAGCATTCAGAGTGATCTTATTTCTCTTTGGAAATTCAATATGTATCCGAGTCTTTTTCAAATAGTAGTACATTACTTGAAACAAGTTTTTCCAATGTTAGTCGTACATATGGGTGCGAAGCTGAATTGGAATTACTCCAAGACTCGTGCTTGAATCTCACTCTCGTCTGTCCTTACTTTTATCATTGACCTAAGACAGAAAATGCAATGCGATTTTAACGTGTGCCTTCATTACTCGAGCAGTGTTGTTGGTACTCAATCATCTGGATCGTGGCATCTTTGTTTTCAGTATATAAAAAAGATGGATGACGAAGGACACAGGGTTGTTGTGGCTTCATCCCTTCATTATCATTATTGTTGGCTACTCTGGCACGAAATATATTGATTTCATAGTCCACCACTCCACCTCTAATACTACTCTCTAGTCATTCGCGTGTCTTTGTTTTTTTATATGTAAAAAAGACAAATAATACATGGGGATGAAAAGGATTTCTAATCCGAAAGAAGATGGAATGATTGTTGTGATGAGGTTGGCACATTTTCAACTCTGGAAATGCTTGGTGGCACCTTGATCCTCTGTTGCAGATTCAAATTGGTGCTTCTGAACTAAGATGTTAGTTGTAAGAGTAACGATACTTGCACTGATTTGTTGATCGATTCATTTATGCATAAATAAAGAAATGAGCCCTCCATTTACATGTACTATGCATAAATAACTAATTAAAAATATTCTGTAAAACAAATCAGTGCAAGTATCATTATTCCAAGTGTAAAGGGGTCGGTTGCTTGAAGGAAGTTGCTGTGCTCTCCGTTTTTGGACTGAAAAATGGGTGGGATATATCCTCCTCAGCATTTCTCGAAAAGTCTGGGGCTTAAATTCTAGATTTTATCTTTTTGGTCACAATGGGCTGATGAAACTGGGTTATGAAAAGGGGTGGGCATAGGAGAGAGGGGCAAGAATCAAAGTCCATTTGCATTTCAAGGATGAGCAAAGAGTTTAGTGTTGGGCTAGTAAATTGAGGAAAGGCCCAGTGTTTGACTGGAGCATAATGGTTGAAGCCTGAAGGAACTAACTAGCTTTGCTTTGATGATGGAGGTCAGTCACGTGATTCATTTTCATTTTGATTAGATTGGCCGCAATTACGGTATCTAATCATAAAGATTTGGAAAATCTTGTCGGTCTGAGAAAGTCGTATTGGTCATTTGAATTCTCAAGAATCTTGGTTTGGAGGCGCAATTAGGGTATCTACATAAAGATTTGGAAAATCTTGTCCCTCTGAGGGTGTCGTATTAGTCATTTGAATTCTCAAGAATCTTGGTAGGGAGGAGAAGTAGCATGTGCTTCACATGCGTGCACCTTTCCAAGAGAGTTGGAAAATTTACTAATTTACCCCCCGCCCCTGCTGCCAGATTAATTAAGACATTAGGTGACTGACTATATAGATACCCATAGGCCTCCTTGTTTCCAACGCTTCTTTAATGGCATTCAAGGAACCAAGCAACCCTCAATAATGTACATCGTGGAGGGAAAAATCCCCTTTCAATAAGAGCAGTCCACGTCATCATAAATATAACTTTATCTTCGATAAAGTTCAAAACCCATCTCGTTAGAAACCCAAGTTGAGTTGATCATTAGCCCAAAACTACTGTTATCTAACTACCAGCTTTACTAAAACTCGAATCAAGACACCAGCAGACCAAGTTAAATGCGGCCCAAATCCATTTAAAGAAGGAGCCGGTCCTGCAAGGAAAATGATTCATCAAAGGAAGCAAGTTCTGTGTAAGGAAAATCCAGTAAGGGAAGAATTATAAAGAGGAAAGAATTCTATTTGTAAAGAAATTGATATATGGAAAGAATTAGAGGACAAGTAACGCGAGTCCTACCATAATTCTTCTAACTTTTGTATATAAATAGAGGCCCAGACCTCCAATAAAAAGATCAAGCAATTCTACGCCCCTCTAGACACTGTTCTTGTTTATTGAGTGAGTTGTTTTATTTTTCTCAATTATTATTGGTTGAGCGAAATTTTGCACTTACACTTTGGCGCCGTCTGTGGGAATCGTGTGCAAATATATTCCCACTCTTGTTGTTGTTTCACAAGTGAATCCTGCAGCTACCATCCAGAATGTCGAACGGAGGATCTTCAGCAGATCAACAGACGGAGTTGATGCAAAAGATGCGTGAAGAGTTTTTGCACCAGTTTGACGTACTTCGTCAGGCAAACGAAGCAAGCGTGGCTCAGATTGCCTTGATTCAACAACAGAATAACGGTCTGCAAACGACACTGGCTCAGTTGGCACCACCGCCACCAGTGAATGACACAACAGCACCCCCTAGTCAGAATATTCCTCTGATTACTGGACTTCCGCTTGATGGGGTTCCACCTAATGGGGCACGACCCAATGAGGTTCAACCGAATGAGGTTCAGCAGCAACGGAAGGCAAGATCCGAGGCTACGGCTTCAGATAACGTCCCTCGTCGCATGCAAGATGAGCAAGTCGAATCTAGCCATAAGCTTACGGTGTGGTCCAATGGAATCCCAGATGGTGCAGGTGTTCAGGATGCCTTTGACGAGAAGAGACACCTGCCGAGATGGCTAGAGAACACAAAAATTCTTTGATCAAAACTCCTTTCACTGACGATGTGTATCTGGTTGAGAGGCCCAAGAAATTCACCATGCCTTCTTTCACCCAGTTTGATGGAACAGGGGATCCTTTTCGGCACCTAGATCATTATGCTCAAAAGATGGCTTTGGATGATCGTAATGACCCTTGGATGTGCAGAGTTTTTCCTACCAGTTTGACAGGAGCAGCACTATAGTGGTTCAGGAATAGACCGCATAAATCCATCCCAGATTACGTAACTCTATGCACCATGTTCCTGGCACAGTATTGCGGAAATAAGAAGCAAAAGAAGAACATTGCTAGCCTCTTCACCGTAAGGCAGAAAAGGGGGGAAACATTACAGGATTTCTTGTCAAGATTCAACATGGAGGCATCAGAAATAGCAGATTGTCATCCCGCAACTGCTATAGAGACATTTAAACTTGCAATGATTCAGGGGACGAAGTTCCACACTTCCTTAGTCAAGTATTCTCCTCCCGACATGCAGACTCTAAATGCCAGGGCCCAGATCTACATTCGGCTTGAGGAAAATATAGCCCACCGAGCGTAGCACGCTACCCTCATGACAGTGGAAAACAAGCCTCGAGAAAGAATTCCAACTCAAAAGATTCAAAAAAGCCAACGTTCCTTAACGCCGGTCACCCAGGCACCTGAAAAAAGGCAAAGGGTAGAGGAATAATTTACACCTCTCTGAACTACCTTGGCTCGGCTCTTCCAAGAGAATAAGACGAAGTTCACAACTCCGCAGCCAATAAAGCAACCCCTGGAGCAAAGGGACAAAAGCAAGCATTGCGCTTATTATCGAGATTATGGGCATTCAACCAACGATTGCCGATCCCTCAGGCGACAGGTGGAGAATATGATCGCCAGAGGTGAGTTGACGGATTACCTCATGACAAAGGAGCATGCAAAGCCTCGCGAGGTCTATCCCTACAAGGTAGAAGGTACGCAAGTAAAAGTCATCCATGCAATACATAGTAGGTCTGAAGATGATCAAGAGTCCGAGGAGGTGTACAGATCCAGATTGAGGGCGACCCACAAGCTCAGGAAGATATCCTCGGTCAATGCTATAAATTCGGGTAGCATTAATATTGTATTCAGAGATGGCGACCTATCCAGAGTGCAACTCCCCCACGAGGATCCATTGGTCATCAGTCTTTTAGTGGCCAATTGTATGATCAGGAGGGTTTTGGTAGATCCAGGAAGTAGCGCCAGCATAATCACAAAGACGGTCTTTGATCAGTTAGAGATCTCGTCATCATCTATTTGACCTACCTCCAGCCCGTTGATGGGATTCGATGGTACAAGAGTAGATCCCCTTGGAGTAATAGACTTGTCCGTAACCGTGGTGAAGAGGACTCTGAAGGAGAACTTTATTTTAACAGAGATCCATCCTTTTTACAATCTCATCATGGGAAGAGGCTGGATACATCAGATGAGAGGAGTTCCGTCCACCTTCCACCAGGTGATGCGGTGCTTATCTCCGGACGGGAAAGAAGTAATTAATCTGTGGGGCGATCAAGTCGCAGCGAAGGAATGCTATATGTTGACACAAGTTGAGGCAAAGAGGGTGTCGACTCAACAACAACCAGGTGTGGCTTCCAAAACTGGACCCAAATAGCAATTACAGAGCCCTCTGCCCAAGTATCTTAAGGTAAAGGAGGAAGAGGAAATTGCGAAGCCTACCGAGAAGACCCTCGAAGCCGTGAAAGTTATCCTCGGCGACCCTCAGAAGGTTACTTATCTAGGCTCTTCTTCCACGTTCGAAGAAAATGAGGCATTAATTAATGTTATCTGGAGCAATGCGTATGCCTTTGCGTGGGATCACTCGGACATGGTAGGGATCGATCCCTCAGTTTCTTGCCATAGCCTGAAGGTGGATCCGGAGTTCAAACCAGTCAGGCAGAAACACCGAAGGTTTGCCCCTGAATGCAATCACATTATAGCTGAAGAAGTGAGCAAATTGTTGCAAGCAAGTTTCATTTGAGAAGTGCAATATCCGCAGTGGTTGTCGAACGTGGTAGTCGTACAAAAGAAGATAGAAAATGGAGGGTTTGTGTAGATTATACTAACCTCAACAAAGCCTGCCTTAAAGATAGCTACCCTCTGCCTAAGATAGACCAGATGGTTGATGCTACCACTGGCTACAAGAGGTTGACATTCCTAGATGCATACTCGGGATACAATCAGATTCCTATGAACCCCGAAGATGAAGAAAAAACGGCTTTTATTACAGAAAAGGGGACTTATTGTTACAGGGTCATGCCATTCGGACTGAAGAATGCTGGAGTCACTTATCAACGCCTTATCAACAAGATATTCGATAATCTGCTGGGAAAGACAGTTGAAGCATATATAGATGACATGGTGGTTAAAAGTGTGAAGAAAAAGATCATCCGAAGCATCTACAGGAAGTTTTTAATACTTTAAAGGAGTACAACATGAAGTTGAATCCATCCAAGTGCTCCTTCGCGGTATCATCAGGTCAATTCCTCGGCCACATAGTGAATAAAAGAGGGATAGAGGTAAGTCTGACTTAGGCTAAGGCCCTCATCCAGAATCAAGAACTAAAAAATCGCAGGGAGGTGCAGGTTCTTACTGGTCGGATCGCAGCACTCAGCCGGTTTATATCCCGATTGTCAGATAAGTACAAACCATTCTTCGATGCTATACGATCTAAGAATAAAGATATATGGGGACCTCAGCAGCAGGAAGCCCTCAGTCGGTTGAAAGCAACCAGTGCAGCATTGATTAGAAAGGAAGGAAAGAGGCAATATCCAGTCTTCTACACAAGTAATACCATGACAGATACGGAGACACGATATAATAAAGTAGAAAAAGTCATCTTAGCTTTGATCTATGCCAAGAGGAAGCTTTGGCATTATTTTGAATCTCATAGCATTGTGATACTCACCAACTATCTTATACGGGGTATACTCTCTAAGCCCGATTTATCTGGGAGAATTACCAAATAGGCTATCGAGCTTAGTTCCTTCGACATAACTTATGTGCCAAGGGTGTCGCACAAAGGACAAGCCGTAGCGGACTTTCTTCTCGAGTATGAAGATACTCCCGAAGAGCCGGCACACTTTGAACCATAGTGGGAACTTCGAGTCGATGGCTCCTTGAATCAAGCAAGTGTAGGAGTAGGCGTTGTAATGTCAACACCTGAAGGCACCAAGCTGCAGCAATCTATCTGTTTGAAGTTCCCAGTTATGAACAATGAGGCCGAGTATGAGGCATTACTTGCTGGTCTTCGATTGGCTAGTAGTCTCCAGGTACGTTGCTTAAAGGTTTTTAGTGACTCACAGCTTGTTATAAATCAAGTGACAGGTCAGTACCATCCCAAAGAGGAGAGAATGAAAGCATATAAAGAAGTTGTAGAGAACGTTGCACGGGGATTCGATCAGATCAAATTCTATCAGGTACCTCATGTTGAGAATGCCGAAGCAGATCAATTGGCCATATCAGCGTCATCTTCAAATGAGGATCTGATTCGGATTATGCCGATTGATGTTCTGGACGAGCCCAGCATTAATCCTCTGCAGGAAGTAATGGTGGTTCCAGTTATTCCTCGAGAACCATGCTGGATTGATCCATTGGAAGCTTACCTCAAGCATGGAGTTCTTCCAGACCAGAAGTCCGAAACATGGAAGCTCCGTCTCACCGCAGCTAAATATGCCATCATTAACAATCAGTTATACCGAAAGTCATTTTCAGGTCCTTACCTGAAATGTTTAAGCCCTACTGAGGCTCTTGTGGTGTTGAGACAAATCCATGACGGAGATTGTGGCAACCATTCTGGGGGCAGATCCCTCGCGTACAAAGTCCTGACTCAAGGTTACTTCTGGCTGTACTTGGCCCGGAATGCAGAAGAGTATACACGGAGGTGTGACAAATGTCAATGTCACGGTCCCATGAAGCATCAACCTGCCGAAGATTTGCACGCAATGGCAAATCCATGGCCATTCGCACAATGGGGGATTGATATGGTGGGCCCGTTACCCAAGACTGTAGAACAAAAGGAGTACGTGCTACTGGCTACAGATTATTTCACTAAATGGGTAGAAGCCGAGGCCTACTCAAGTGTGACCCATGAGCAGGTAAAAAGTTTCCTTTAGAACAACATCATTTGCCGGTTTGGGGTCCCAAAAGTCATTATGATGGACAATGGTAAGAACCTCGATAATAGAAGTACAAGAAAATTCTTTGCTGAACATGGAATTATACAATAGTTAGCTGCAGTTAGTCATCCACAAGGGAATGGACAGGCTGAAATAACTAATCGGACAATTTTCAGTTGTTTAAAGAAGAAATTGGAGAAATTCAAAACGAAATGGTACGAGAATCTCCCTCAGGTGCTTTGGGCGTACCGAACCACACCACGGCGGCCTACGGGGGAGAGTCCCTTTGCCATGGCTTATGGATCTGAAGCTGTGATCCCAACCGAAGCGGCAGTTCCAACCCTTCGGACATTCTTATTACTTGAAGGAAACAATAGTCAACAGCTCGAACATAGTCTCGATCTCTTGGACGAAAAAAAGGGATGCTGCAGCAATAGGCTTACTTCATATCAGCAACAGCTACGTAGCAGTTATAACAAACGCGTCAGATTCAGGAGCTTTGTGGTAGGCGATTGGGTTTTGAAGCAAGAGACAGCTCATGTAAAGAAACTGGAACCTAATTGGACCGGACCCTACAGGGTTATCGAAGTAGTGGGGAAAGGAGCATATTGTTTGGCCGAAGCTGACGGACGTCCCATTGCGCGTCCTTGGAATGCAATACACCTTAAAAGGTATTTTCATTAGATAAGTTTGTCAATTTTGCTATGAATTCTTCACAAATAAGGCTGCGTATGCCCACAGTCAGCCAAACTTTTCTTTATTTTGCTTCTATCATATTCAGTACAATTCTACTCTATTTATTTCTTTCCATAAAAATGGGGGCCATACTACTCTATGATTATGCAACTTTTATGCATGCGTCGCATTATGTAATTTTTATGCAAAGCAATGTTCGTCACAATGATTTTTAAGAAAAAACATGAGTTATGGCCTATGGTTAAAACTCTCTATCCTACATCGACAAAAAAGTATGTGTTACATTCTGTTATATATGGGAATATTCAAATAGTTGATTGCGGTGTAAGGAGGGCCCACTGGTATTAAAGGCTGTCAAGCTCAATACCAGAGGCATTCCTTACACCGACCTTTTTGACAAAATTTAGTCTATGTCCTACATCGGATAGAAATAGAAAAGAAATGCGGTTAATATATGCGTAGTCCACTATATTTGGTTGCCAAGAAGGGAGTATCAATGGAGGAAAGTCTCCAAAGTCAACAAATAGGAAACTTCACAGCCATTGTTACTCGCTTTCTTGGCCTCCTATCATTTTTGAATCCTCGGCCTCATGATAAGTTGCTTGAGAAAAATATATGCAAACTTTCACTCAGGCTCAGCGCCGGGGAGTAATTTATTCGCTTCGGACTCTAAGTGTCCGGCTCGGCAAACCTCCCCTCAGGCTCAGCGCCGGGGAGTAATTTATTCGCCTCGGACCCTTAGAGTCCGGCTCAACAAACCTTATTCTTATGCTCATATTCACTGATTCTAAGTTTGGTAATATAAGCCACGAGATTGTCCTACATTGAAAAACTATAAGAAGAAACAAGTATAAATATACTTGCTTCACACAAATCCATTTCAAAATGGTTCCCTTAACAGTTAAATCACCAAAGGAAAAAATAATCCTCTATTATCAGACAAACCATTAGAGGAGATCTCTTCTTCATATCTTATTTATTTTGCTTCAGACTAGAACAGATAAGGAACTCTCAGGCAGGGTATTTTCCTTAAAAATAATCTCATCTAACAAAGTGTGTGCAATATTAAAAGCATACAAGCATACTTAGTCGAAGCAAAATAAAAATAACACAGCTTAAGAAACATGGTTATATCATTTATATCTATCATTCCCAATGTTGTTTCATTACAAAAAAAAAAAATTACTCAATCTTACTTCCTCTTCGGATCAAACGGGATAGATTCAAAAGCATTTACCACAGCTGGACTTGCAGGTGGAGGATTTGATGGGCCAGTTGCAAGAGTGGAGACACTTGGAGCTGAAGGGACCTCAGGATGAGCTTTCACCATCTCAGCAAAAAGAACTTCAGCTTCTTGAGCTTTTGGACCCTCATCATAAGGGAAAGACACTCCCATATGGGCATCAAAAGCCTCGGGATCTGTTGTTTTTTTTCCCCTGAACCCTGATTGAAGCTGGACCTGAAGGCCTTGGCACTAGATAAACACACCAAACTGGAGTAACAACCTTGCATCTGCCTCCCTACAATGATGCAGGTGCTAAGGGCATCATTCAAACGTTGGACTTCAGCCTCCAGCGACTCAACTTTGGCATTAGAAGCAACTAGACGCTTCTTGTAAACATCCTAAGCCTCGTATGCAATTTGTGCATTGGCAATGGCATGGGATGCCTTCTTCTCAGAATTACTGAGGTTTTTCTCCAGCTTCTTAAGGGAAAGAGACTGAGCCTCAGCAGTAGCACAGAGGGCCATAGTATGATACAAGCCCTGCATTATGAGATAATAACAATGTAAGAAAGTGTGTAAGGCAATTATGACAATAGAAATGAAGGACGGAGCAAACCTCTATGGCTCGAACAGGGGTAGATGGGAGTAGCTGTTCCAACCCCATTCTGCCGATAATTTCTTCATCCTTGAGGAGTCACATTCCCCGAGCAACGGCCAGTGCTGCAGATGGGTCAGTGATCATAGAATCACCAACATGGAGGATGGACTTGTCAGCCCTCGAGAAGGAAGGAGTCCGAGGTGCTCCAGCCTCGGTAAGGACATAAGCACTGACCTCATCCTCAGGGTTAACCTCTTCGGTTTTCTTCCCTTTGCTTTTTGGGTTGGAAGCACCCTTGGATTTCACGGTTGAAGAGGAGTTCAGCCTTGCCCTTTTGTTCAAAGGGACTTCGTCAATCTCCTTTTCCTGCTCATTTGTACACAATATAGTCAACGGAGCATTCTCTGCAGCTTTCCTCTTCAAGGCTTCAGCCCTCTGTTTTTCTTCCTCAGTCATAAGGAAGCTGTTAAAAGATGGAAGTGAGAGGTCCATGAGATCAGCGGCTACAGCTCTGGAAGCAACTACTTTAAGACTCGTAGGAGTGAGTAAGCTCTCGATCGAGGGAGGGTTGCTCCAGACCTGCCTTTCCAGGAAGGAAAGCCTCTTCTTGGCAGCCGAAGAAGGAAATGTTGCTGAAAAAAAGCAAGAAACTTGTAAATATATCGAAATAATAAGACTCAACATGGGAAACAGCCCGAACACTCTTCATGAAGAAAGGGGGGATGTTCTATACCTAACTTCCCGAACTTGCGAGGGATTGGGAGTTTGCTCGATTGGGGCACGACCCATCTCCCTTTAACAATTATCATCCTCTCTTTCCACTTCTTCTTAGAAGTAGGGAGGTCTGTACATATCCTTTGGTGCAAGGGGGAAGTGAAAAAGAAACGACAAGGTTCGGTTCCATGCTTAGAAATAGAATAAGTAATCAGCAAGTCAGCCAGAGTCAGGTCAAGACTCTCCTGCCACCAGCGAATGAAGAGTGCTGAGATTACTCGAAGGAAGTTAGGGTTTACTTGCAGGGGTGCAATCCCTAATTTGTTGAAGACTAAATGATAGAAGGGATGAAGGGGGAACCTAAGAGCATTGAGATGCCCAATAGAGAGGAGTAACTCGTCTTCTCCGACGCCCTCGCCGGCGCAAAAATCAGCGCCTTTGGAGTACTCTGCAATTTCTATCCCCTCGGGAATCTCGAATTTTTCCATTACGGATTCAATGGAGAACGGGATGCGTCGAATAGACAGAATTGCATTTCTTTCTTTCTTAGTGAGGATATTGTCCGACCCAGAGGTGGATGTTTCAGCTTGGATGGGGGAAGCACCTGGCTGATTAGCCGAGTCACTTACAAGTTTAGGAAAGTTCGAAACCCTAGGTGGGGGAACCCTAATGAGATTAGGGGAAGACGAGGGAGTGGACTCAGAATCTACGATCTCTATACGTTCAGGAGTAGTCGAAGTACTCATAATGCAAGATCGAAGAGAAAAAGATGAAGAACTAACCTGATAAGACGACAGAGTGAAGAATGCAAGAAACGTAGTGAGAGCAAAAGTAACCCTTATAGAATCTCTTAAGGCAGAATGGCAATGGGCAATCTTCGAAATGTCTTTTTGTAAAATAAACAACTGTGCAACTTCAATTCCCTTTTTAATAGGAGCCGCAATCCAATTAAAGAGGGAATTGGGGGCAAAGTGTGGAGGGAAAAATCTCCCTCCAATAAGAGCAGTCCACGTCATCATAAATATAACTTTATCTTCGATAAAGGTCAAAGCCCATCTCATTAGAAGCCCAAGTTGAGTTGATCATTAGCCCAAAACTACTGTTATCTAACTACCAGCTTTACTAAAGCTCGAATCAAGACACCAGCAGTCATGTAGACCAAGTTAAATGCGGCCCAAATCCATTTAAAGAAAGAGCCGGTCCTGCAAGGAAAATGATTCATCAAAAGAAGCAAGTTCTGTGTAAGGAAAATCCAGTAAGGGAAGAATTATAAAGAGTAAAGAATTCTATTTGTAAATAAATTGATATATGGAAAGAATTAGAGGACAAGCAATGCGAGTCCTACCATAATTCTTCTAACTTTTGTATATAAATAGAGGCCCAGACTTCTAATAAAAGGATCAAGCAATTCTACGCCCCTCTAGACACTGTTCTTGTTTATTGAGTGAGTTGTTTTATTTTTCTCAATAATTATTGGTTGAGCGAAATTTTGCACTTACATACATCAATTAGAGGCTCTCTCTCTCCCACCCATGAATATATATATATATATATATATATATATATATATACATATATATATATATATACATACATGACATGAGGTGGCAGCGGCAGCGGCAGTGGTAGAGTCAGTTTAGTTTAGATGGACCAGATCTATTATCATTTCATTAAAAATGATGAATTTAAAGAAGAAATTATGGATTTATGAGAAAGTATGAAAGATGAGGAATTGGACTTATATGATGTTGTTAATAATAGTGCTAGGAAGAAGCCTAGGATTGTACAAGGACATGGTTATCTTCCACAGTCATTACTGGTTATGAATGGTTTGGAGACCAAATTAGCATCAACAAACAATGAATTAGCAGAGATGGTTGAAGCACTACATCAGCTCTCACAAAATACCGATTGTAGGAGACGGAGACTTCTCTTTCTCAACTTGTTTGGCCAAAGCTTTTGGTTCTGCTCACAACATGCGTGCTACCTCTCTCGATTCTATAGGTAAACAAACAAATTAATAATATCCACACAATTTTTTTCTTTTATTTTGACAATGCTAATTACTTCATATAATTTATAAATGTAATTAATGGTAACCTAAAAGGTGTTTAGTATATAGGGTTAAGTGCAAAAAAAACCCCGATAGATAGACTTTGTGCAAAACCAATCCCTATTTTTTGAAAGTGTGCATGAAAGTTCACAAAATTCAAAAAAAGTGCATGCAAGTCCACAAAATTCAAAAAAGGTACAAATAAGCCCTCTAACCACTTTTTGGTCAGAATTGACCTAAAATAAATTTAAAAACCCTAATTTGCCCTTTTATCTTCCTATTCTACCATTTTGTTGAGTTGACTCAGTGTGTTATCAAAGCCACATTACAAACCCAAATTTGTTGGGTTGACTCAGTTGACCCGAACAAGTTCCATAACAGCTATTGACCATCGTCCCACAACAACACCGGCAACACCAACTCCACCCCCACAACGGCGGCACCATCACCACCATCCCTCACCGTCCCCACACCTACACCAGCGACGCCACAGTCGGCTGCAGGAAAGGGGAGAGAATATGAAGAGAGAGAGAGAGAGAGAGAGAGACCCATTTTCCACAGACCCATTACACTCCACACTCTCTCAGCCCACCTCCGAACTAGACTCGGAACATTGCTCGCCCAAGTCCCCGAACCCAACTGCAACAGAGGACGGACCTATCGAACTCCCACCTTCCACTCCATCCATTTTCGCCACCACCGACGACCCTACGCCTCTCCAAGTCGCCGCCAGTGTTATGCTCACCGGGGCCATCTCTGTCTTCCTCTTCCTCTCTCTCCGTTGCCGTGCAAAGCGAGCCAAAGAACTGCAATTTAGTTCGTCGGGAGCGAAAAAATCGTTAAAGGAGGAAGAGGTCGTAGGATTGGGTTTGGAAATCGGGAGCGAAGAAATCGTTTGCGAAGAAATTGTCCTCATAAGCAACTATAGGGCTTTATGGATCCGGTGACCATGGCATCCTCAAATCGCATCTTTCTCTCGTCTCATTATTCGCAATCCCGTCAATAACTATAGACACTAAATTTCGCAAACCCAATCACAAAATCATTATCAACTTACAAAATTACTTCGGTGTGATTCGCCCATTTGCTACTAGAGCCCAAACTCCTCCAACACAAATGAATCATCGCAACAGGAAATACTAAATCATATGGAGAAAATAAATCCAAATCCTAAAACTGATTCACCATTTTTTTCGGCAATGAAGTTATGGTAGGGGTGACGGTAGTTGCAGAAGTGGTGGGTGATGGCAGTGGCTCAGTGGTTCAATATGATTGGTTCGGCAATGATGGCGGTGACGGTGGCTTTGTAGGTCGATTGGATAAAATTGCTTGAGAGAAGTTCGTTGCTTGATTGGTCGACGTTATGGTGGCGTTTCAAAAAATCCGTGGTTTGATTGGTTTGGCGATGACGGTGGCGGCAGTGAGTTTGTAGGGTTCGATTGAGTAATTGTTTTAGTTTTCAATACGATGGAGTGCTTGTGAGAGACTATGGTGGCAGCGGCGGTGGCGGGATTGCGGCACAGTGGTGGGAAGAGAAAGTGGGACGGTGGGCATTGACGGCCGGTAATGGCTGCCGAAGATTAAGAAAAAAGATTTGATATATACACTTAGAGAAAGCTGCTGCAGATTTTAGAAGAGATGAGAAAGAAAAAAATAAAAAAAAAAGAAAAAGAAAAAGAAAAGAATAAAGGACCTAAAATGGTAATTTTACATTGTCTAATTTTTTAAATAATATTTTATTTATATGAGAGAGGGTATTATCGTCATTTTACACGACCAGGGACCTAATCGCACCAAATTGATAGTATAAGGGGGTTTTTTTACCACACATGGACTAATATGCACTATATCGATAATAGAGGGGGGTTTTGTGCACTTAACCCTAGTATGTACTATATATATTAGTGGTTGAATTTGAATCAGAGTTATTGTGATTGTCAGAGTTTTTGATGATTAACTACAAGAGCTCCATGCTCACATTCATGAACTAAAGAGTCGAGGTTGTGCCGTTATGCATGATGTGGATGCAACCAAGATGGGAGATGATTATGTGCCCAGTAGCCTCAAGTATGATCGAATTGTATTCAATTTCCCCCATGCTGGCTTTTCCAAAATTGAATCACGCCAATCTCAAATCAGGTCGATCTCTCTCAATTTTTCCATTAACCAAGGAATTAGATTGTATAATTCATTTTTTTTTTAGTTAGTGGTAGTAACATACACATGCATGCTTCTACTGAGACTTAAACTTCTCACCTCTCCATGATAAGTAAGTGCCGATACCGCTAGGCTACTTGCCAGTTGGTAGCTAGTATAAACTTGATTTTTGTATGTTGCTGGTGGGACAAAACAGCAAGCTAAACTATTTTCATGTTTGTTTTGCAGGAGAAACCAGAATTTTGTGATGTCATTCTTGAAAAATGCTAAGAAGATGGTTAAGGATGATGGAGAAATTCATATTTCTCGCAAATCAAATGGCTTCTTTAAGGAATGGAAAATTGAATTGCTAGGACTATTTAGCAGCGGCCTGCGACTCAAGGAAGAGGTGGCATTTAACTTGTCTGATTATCCCGGTTACAACACGAAATATGGGTAGGGAGGTGATAAGAATTTCAACTGCAACCCTAGCTCCACTTACAAGTTTATGCTCCGCCCTAGCACCACTTCCAAGTTCATGTTGCCAACTGATCAAATTAACATCAGGGATGACAGGCGGCCATGCAGCGTGCATTTTGTCAAAGTTTACTATCAACTTTTTTTAGCTATCTATCTATGAAGCATGGATATATTACAATAATATATTTGGTGAAATCTCCTTTGATGCCAATACTTTTGTACCTTGCACTACATGCACATCATTTCTCGATGGAAAAAGTGATTAATATGAAATTACAGCTTGAATTGTTTTCCAAACTTCATGGTGCTGAAAATTTGATTATTTCTGCGGTGCATTTGGTTCTCTATTTTCCATTATTTTCTACCTTCATACTAATAATTGTTTAAGTAATGCAAAAATATTCAACAAATCTAACTCAAAACATTACTCAACCAATTTTGAACCAAAGCTACCCGAGCTTGTTTTTTATTTTATTTTTATTATTTTTTAATTCATAAATTCGGTGCCACAACAAGAACAATCTCCATCTTAAGAAAATATGAGAAGTAATTCATCTGAAATTAATTCAAAATCCCAAATCATGGAGGAATATATAACATATTACCCTATTAAATAAGGTAGGACCAAAACCAAAACAATAGTTATGGATTCTTTATTAGATGCAAGAGAGTAGTTATAGAACGTACACATTAGTCCAGCTTTTTTAGTTCTACACATGTAGCAACAGATCAAATATTCAAAATTCACAAGTAGTTAATGAAACTTTAAATGCTAGCTGGTCCTTCTTTGTATATGCTTCCATGTCTTACAAAGAGCCAAATGACTATCTAAAACAAAAGCAACTAGATGCCTTGTTCGTATGTAATTTTAATTGTCTTTTTCTCTGATATTAATAAAATTTCATTGAAAAATGCTGGTCCTTCTTTGATATACTGAATTTTGGGAGAATAATAAAAGCTTATTTCTCATTTTCACTAAGTTCTTTAATTTCTGAGCCCGCATGATTTTGCTCTTGGATTTTATTTCAAAATTTTTTATACCAATTGAAGCTATCACTACCATATATAAGCACTTTACATTTTTATTACTTCCATGTTATTTAATAAAATGCTGGTTGTTTTACAATTTTGAGAGAATAATAAAGCTTATTTCTCATTTCAACTGAGTTCTTTAATTCCTGAGCCCGTACGATTTTGCTACTAATTGAAGATATTACCACAATATATAAACACTTCACATTTTTCTTATCTAGGCAATGTGGGATTGTTTCTGTAGCTTGTCTGTGGTAGCCTATTAGTGCACAGCACACTCGCCCACAAAGTCGCCACAATCACTCCCTTGAAACCTAACTCCCCGTTGGCCACATTTCCAACTAGACCTGTTAATGGAGCGGATCCTGATCCGGATCCGATTTGATTATTCGGATATAGATTGAACAAAAAATCCGATAATCCGATTACGATCCGAATCCGATAATCCGTTAGCTTAACAAATCGGATATGAATTATGCTGATTCGATCCGTTAATAATCCGATCCGATTCGATTAAAATTATTTATATAAATAATTATATATATAATAATTATTTATCAATAATTTTACATATATATCTATCTATATATATATATATCAATACTCCTATTAAAATTGTATTAGAGGTAACCCAAAAATCCAAAAAGAAAATATATATATATATATATATATATATATATATATATATATATATATATATATAATGTTATATATACAATAGTGTGGTGTTATCATCTATATGCTAATAAATCTCTTAATATACATACTAATAATATCATACTCTTTATTCATTAACAAATAGTAAATAATTTACAATATACTATATATCAATGTTATATATATTAGTTACATATTACTAAATTTATATATATTAATTATTTATCATTATATTCATTTGGTTGCATAGTTATATTATGTAGCATTTTGTACATTAGCAATTCTCCGCTTCATCTAACTTTATAATTATATATGTTAGTAAATATGATTTTAATCCGAATTCGAATCCGATTCGATACGAGTCCGAGCTAAATAGGATATGAATTGGGACATCTAGTCCGAGAACCCGTTAGTGATCTGAATCTGATAATCCGTTTGCTTCGGGCCTGTTTACTAACACTTTTACTTTCTTATTTTTGCTTTCTCTAAAAGTAAACTTATAATTCTTGTGATATCCCCAGATTTTCGAATGCGGGTTGGCTAGGCCCACGTCCGAACGCCCGGGGATATCAAAAACGAATCGCTAATAAACGAACACAGAATACATGAGGATAAATAAGAATAAATAAAATGCTGAAATGAACACTAAAATGATAATCCAGTAAATCCGCAGAATAAAATTTCATTAAATAATAAAATATTCGGATATATCCAATCTTCTACTACTAATACAACTCGGAAATCCATATTATGTGGACTCCTAGAAAATCCCAACAGAACAAGTGACAGCAATAACTGTCTACATTAGAATACTGAAACATAAAGGAAACTCTTATGTAGAAAATCTGGAAGAGTGAAGTAGACTGATCCCTACTCAGCACGAACAACCTTTACTCCTGACGAACACCTAAAAAATAATGGTGAGTCAGGCCCACAAATAAGTTCTATTTTAGTACAGTCCAAGCAGAGATTCGATACAGGTATACATCCTAGTCAATCCAACAATAACTAGTATCCCGTATATATATATATAAATACACACTAAAGGAACCTCACTAGACTATAGGGTTGCCTCAACCTGAATAGTAGGCAACATGCAAAACGCACATATAGTGGGCATGAATACCTAGACCTACCAGGGCACACAACTATACTATATCTAGCTACACATCCTTGGCGATATACGTGCCCTAACCATTGATCCTAAGACTCAAGCTCATATCATGGTACATAATTATATATATAAATCTAGTAACCATCCTATCCAGTATAAAGTAATCCTCTACAAATAATCCTCTATAAGTCATTCAACTTGTTCAGCTGACCTAACTTGAATATAAGTAGGACTTAACATTTTAGTTAATCCATTCACTTATACAAAATAGGTAGGACTTAACTGATAAGTTAATCCGTCCTTAGAGTGCCACCATCCCATACTGGTGCACTACTTTCACACAATCTAATAGTTGATGTAATAATTAAAGAAATACATCAAATAATCTAGAAATAAATATAATAACATAATGTCATGCTATAATATGAATGACTTATAATTTATTTAAGCTTCCTATATCATATCCTATATAAACTGAATCTTAAACATGCTGATATTTTATTATACAGTCAAGTAAGCATTCTCCGTATCCAATTCATGTTACATATTTAATCTCAACTGTTAGAACAATTTACAAAGATTAAATCCATTCATTCCTTAAAGAATTTAAATAGCATGCATTGTTGCACTTAAGTCTATTTAGAATTTGTTTAAACTCATACCTAGTCCTTATTTAATGATTAGGACCCCTCAAAATCAATTAAAATTAATTTAACGCTGTTTACGAAACTTCCCCAGGTAAGGCTCGAGCTTTTATCCTAATTGCTCGAGCTTTCTGTCAAAGGCTCGAGCTTCCTGTTCGTTGCTCGAGCTTTACATCCCAGGCTCGAGCTTTTCTTTTCAGGCATGAGCTTTCCACTTATGGCTTGAGCTTTACATTCCAGGCTCAAGCACTGTAACGGCGGATCGAGCACTGTTACGCAAATCTACCCAGAAACCCTACTATGAATTTATTTTTTACTGTTTAAGGATTATAAGGCATGTTTCTAAGTTCCATCAATCCACAGATATGAAAATACATCATTTAAACATGTAAAAATTCATAAAGGAAATCAGATCAAATCCATGAATTTAACAATTCATACAACAAGAACAAATATGAAACAAATTCATAAAACCTATGTTCTAATCCAATTAAACATGCATAATTATTTAATTTTAATGTTTAATCATCCTGGAATTTCCTAGGCATGTATAGAAACACGAATCAAAGGAAAAGAGGCAGAAGAAGAACTTGCCTTAAACTTTCGGATCGAAAGTTAAACTTCTTCTTCCTTGATCTTCTTTTCTAAAGATTCTTCTCCTTATTCCTTTCTCTTCCTCCTTCTCTCTCTCTAAAAATATATTACGTGATATATTTTAACCCCCTTTTACAACCTATAGTTATATATTTATAGGCTAAATAATAACCCTATTCCTTTTCTCAATCAAAGTCAACTTAATAGAGAAAATAACAATTAAAATATTGAAAAGGTAACTTAAAACATGATACGTATAAAATCTATGTGTATCCTTATTATATAAAATATTTAAAATATATACATCAAATTAAATAATAATACTAAAGTTACCATAAAAGTAATTAATAAATTACTTTCCTTTTATATAGGTATATACATATATATCTATATACATATATATCTATATATATATATATACAACTATCCATGGGTAATTATTCATACCCATTAAACCTCCTATCAAAGTAGTCCATGTGACCTAATTGGATAGCCCATTACTACTAACCATAACCATAAAATAAAACAAAACGTTTAATTATTTAATCTACAACTAATTACAATTAATTAAACACATCATTTAAGCACACAATCAAATAAACAAATAATACAAATAACCCCTAGACAAATAGTCAATTAATCAATTAAACAATTAAAAATGTAATGAAAATAAATAAATAAATACCGAGACTATCCTTTTAAAATTAGGGGTATTACAATTCTCATTTCTAAAACTGAAATACATAGTAGAATCATGTTTTATAATCTTTTATGCTTTCAATATTTTGAAAACAAAAAATTAGAAAGTAAGTTTAATAATTACTTCATTTGTCCCATTTTAAATGGAGGTAGTATTATTTTAATTTTGGTTTCTAAATTCTAAGCACAGGTTTGTATCCACCACGCTCACATCCTCAGATAAACCTGCTACATCATCTTACCAAATTCTTAAAAACTTTAACCCAGATTGATAGACTCACACAGGAATTTGAGTGGGCATATTGCAAATGTTTGATTTATAAAATCAATTGTAATCAACTAGCAACAAAACCTTCGTTCCTTCTCTTTTGGAAAAAATGGCCAAGAATATAGACCAGAAAACCAACACGACAGATCCAACACAACATAGCTTCGGCCCCCTCTGCTTACATGGACAAGCCTGCCGCCTCCGCATCCTCTTAGCTCTCGTCGCAATCGCCGCCGAAGTCATCGTAACGGACATCCCTCATGTGATCCTGAACCTCTGCTCAGTGGTTGTGGTGGGTTTTGATGTGTATGAGAGAGGAGAGAAATGGTTGATTTGGGTTTCTACACTGATGTGGTTTGATGTGTATTAGAGAGAAGATAGATGATTGTGGCAGTAGATGTGGTGGGATTTGATGTGTATGAGAGATGAGAGAGATGGTTGATTTCGGTATATTATTTGATGGGGTTTGATGTGTATGAGAGGGGAGTCTTTGTCCAGATAGAGAGAGATACTGGTAGAAAGTGTGATGGGTGGTGTCTTTCATCGTCGCCGGTGGGTAGTGTCTTTCATTGTCGCCGGTGGGTGGGATGAGATAATGACGACAGAGAGGGAAATGACGATAGGTGATGAGGGTTGGGTGAGAATGGTGGGGTGAGATGACAGAGAGGGAGAGGGAGAGGATTATGGGTGAGTAAAATGCTACAGTAACTGAAAATATTTCCCGTATACAATGTAGAAAATAGAGAAAGTAACCAATCCCTATTTTCTCATTCCTTCATTAAATGTGAAAGTATTTTCTAGAATATGAAAAGTAAAATTATATTAATAAATATAATTTTCACTTTTTACTTCACATTTTAGGAATTAACAGTAAAAAATAGGAATCATTCCTGTTAGTAATTAGGCCCTTAACAAATAGGATATGGATTTGATCGATCTGATCCAAATCCGATTCGTTAACAGGCCTACTTCCAGTCTTTGTGAGTAACAACTATGAAAAAGAGAGAGGGTAAAGTACAGCAACACCCCCCTAAGGTTTGGTAAACTCAGATGAAACTTAACCTGTTTTGGGACAATAATAACCCCTGATGATATTTGCAAACCAAACAGAGCCTTAAAACATGTGAAAAGTCAACATTACCCCTCACTATTTTATTAATTTTAATTATAAAATATTAAAATAGTTTAAGACCAAATTACCCTCAACAAAAAATAGACCGGCGAAGAGAGACCTAATGCAGAGTAAGTATTGAGATTCAACAAAAATGGCAGCAACAATAACTTCCGGGGTAAAAAACGGTAGCAACAATGGTACTCTGCTACCAAACTACCAACAAAACAAAACCCCACATTGTTTTATCACCGCCCTTGACCCCAAGTCTCTGATCCTCCCACAATTTTCCGATTATGAAAAACCCAATCTTCTGCAACTCACAACAGAGAGCTTCGTCATGGAAAGAGGACCCATATACAAAGCGTACGCCGATTTGAGAGAATCAAAGCTTAGAATGAAGAACTTGAGACAACAACAACCTCAGGAACAGGAATTCAATCTTTCACCACTAAAGAAACAGGTGAGATTTCAGAAGAATTTTTCGGTGACCCCGATTAGGCGAAAAAGGGTCTTCTATTCTCACTCAATCAGTGCCCTAATTATGGTGATTCCGACGACGAATTGCCAAAAATGGACCGATGAAAAGAGACCCAGTTCGGTGAGCTTACCCAATGCCGGAGTACACAAGTCATGCGTTGGGCTTAATAGCGGTGGTGGCAATAGTTGTTCGACGAGGGTGGCGGTGAGTGCTCTCGCTGCTCTGTTGATTCTCTCTGTCTCTGGCAACGACATCGACGCGTCGCTCAAAATTGGAGCCCGGTATTGATCTAACCCACGACGGCGCACAAAATTAGAGCCATCAGTCCGACGAAGCTTCAAATTACAAGACCTAATTCTGTCTAGCAAGCCCCAAATCCGGTGAATTTCAGTTCAGACCGACGGACCCTAAGCACGAACAGTTGCCGCGACCCAAAAGCTTACCCATCATCTCCGGTGAAACTCATCTGTGTATACATATATATTCACCAAAAGTTGAAAAGAACAAGTGCCTGCATGTTCTTTTCTATTTTTTAATTTCATATATGGTTACCTAATTTTTTATTTTCAATTCTCATTGATATCAGTAAGGCACTTGTTCTACTTTTGGAGGGTTATCACAAACAGTTCACCATCGCAGCCTATATATACATATACATATATATATGTACATATAGGTATGCACATTTTGAGGTTAGAAATGTCCTTTTATAGTCAATATAAAAGTCAAAGGGTAAAAATGTTAATTAATTACTATTGGGGTGTCTTTGGCAAACGTATCAAACTTGAAGGGATGTTACTGTACTTTGTTCCAAAATAGACTAAGGCCTAGTTTGGTGCGCAGAAATGGAAAGAAGCAGGAATGGAATGTAAGTGGGAATGGAATGGGAATGATATAAGAATGGAATGATCATTCTCATTCCACTGTTTGGATGCAAATAGAGAATGGAATAACTATTCTCATTGCTGTGTTTAGTTAGATCAAATAAAAAACTAGAATGAAATGATTTGTAAATTAATTTTTTCAAAATTTCCTTGCTTGTAATATATCAATTATATTAAAACATATTCTTATAATATATTAGTTACTATATTAAAACATATTCTTATCATATAATAAAACTAAATTATACCAATAGATGCTTGGGCCATTGACTAAAAATGGTATGGGACAGTTGGTGGGTGATGTTATAGGAGTGTTTATATATATATATGTGTGTGTGTGTGTGTGTGTGTGTGTGTGTGTGTGTATATATATATATATATATATATATATATATATATCTGCAAGTGAATCAGTGGGTAGAGCCGAACAAGAAAAAATCCATAAAGAAAGAGAGCTACTAGCAACAGTGCAGACGGCATAATCCAGTGACCAAATGCCGGCAAACCTCTTTTATTCTTTTTTATCTTTGGTTTTTCATCTATTCGATTCTTCTAACCCTCCTTTTTTCTTTTCTTTTTCTTTTTCTTTTTCTTTTTTTTTTTTTTTTTTTTTTTTCATCCTATGGCAAGATGGTTGATTCCTTTGATTCAAAATATCAGTCTTACAGAAGCAGAAAAAGCCGGACCCATCATTCTTACGAAGTGTATTTAGGAAAATCTGGTCAAAGAAATGCAGGTTTAGAGCTTCTAGGGTTCAGAGGGAGTTCGGGCAATTACGGAGCATTCAAGAATTGCTGGTGGTCAATCATGTTGGTGAACCTAACATCTTCCAGTTTATCATTCCAGATGATCAAGTCCGCCAAAGAATCATCCTTGATGGCCCTGCGCCACTTCCTAATAAAGAGAAAATTAGGGTTTCGGTAAGAACAAATTACAGAGCGAAAAAGGCAAATAAAGAGCGATATATATATATATATTCCATGGTATATAGTGAAGTGTGAAGAGAGAAAAAGGAGAGAGAGAGAGGGTGTACAGATATGCATATATGAAGAGAGAGAGAGAGGGTGTACAGATATGCATATACGAAGAGAGAAGAGGAGAGAGAGGGAGGGTGTACAGAGAGTAGAGAGTAAAGAGAGAAAGTGCGAAGAATGCATATGGATTTTTTTGGTCTTTGCATTTTATTACTTTAATATAGTGAGAATGGAATAGCCATTCCACAAGTCCAAAAGAGGAATGGTCATTCCACCTAAAAGTTGGAATGAGCATTCCAGAGAATAGTCATTCCACTTTTAAAGTGGCACATCAAACAAGAGAAAGGAATGAGAAAGTAGAAGGTCATTCCATTCCACTCCATTCTAATACACCAAATTAGGCCTAAAATTCCTTTTAACAAACTTTAAGGGTGGTACTGTATTTTATCAAAAAAAAAAAAAATTAGACAATCAGAAATGTCGTATCATAACAAAATTATTTCGTGATGAGATGGTGCAAAGTTTTATCTTCCTTTTCAACCAAGATTTTATAACAAATAAAAATTCCATTTCATTTCCTTACCTTTCCTTTCCTTTCGATCAAACTGCGCCACTTCAAAACCTAACTTTATATTCGGACATCGGCAATCCACAGTTCCACTCCATATATCTATTACAATCTATATATAGGATGGAATTCAAGTTTCGAGCCATCGATGAGCAAGCGTCCACGTACCTCCATTATTCTTCAACCATGAGCTACTTCACAGAGCAAGCACTCCGAGGTCTGTACAATTCCTAGATTCTTAAATTAAACAGAGTTTGTGTCGATTTTCAATTCGATTTCAGCAATGTCCTTGGTTTATAACATTTATTTTTCCACCGATAACCTCCTTTGTGTTTCAGCTGGTTACCGGAGCAATGATTTTGGACGCGCCAACGACTTCTTTCGAAACCCTAGCAATTATGGTGAAGCGATGATTCTGAGGGAGATTGAAAGAGAACGAATCAGAGAAGAAATTATGGCAGCGGAGATGGGTCGGAAGCGTTTATTAGTAGAAGCAGAGGTGAGAAGGGAAAGAGAGATGATGGCATTGCGAAGAGTGGATGGGTTACCATTGGCTTCTTCGTCAGTGTGGTTTGAGCCGAGAATTTCGATTTTGAATCCATTTGAAGGTCGTAGATTACTTGAAGAAAGATTGGCATTGTCGTTTGAGGAAACATCGAGCTATTCAAATCGCCGCCGAAAGATTGGAGGACTCGAGACTTCTGAGACCATGCCCTTTGAACGGTTCGTTTTCTCTCTGTCAGAACCAACAAAGTGTGAAAACTAGATGATCAGTTTGTGTAAAGACTTAATCTTGTGTTAGGATCAAGAACAAAGGTTATGAAACCCTAAAAAAAACACATCTTGAGAGGCCGAAATGAGTGGATGGTGTGTTTTCATTCTCTCTCTATGAATGAAATGAAATGACCCAATTTTCACTGAGGGGAGCAGAGTGTGAAAGTGATAATATCTAAGCCACATATCGGAAACTCAGGTTGTTTCCCTCAAAGATTGTTAAATTTCACACAAAAATGAAATAAAATGACCCAAGTTACATAGAGGGGAGTGAGTGCCAAAGTGACAAAATCTAAATCACATAGATCGGCATGCGGTCACGAATCCGAAAGAATTATGTGATTTAGAAAACGTGATCTTTTAGAAGAATTATGTGATTTAGGAAAGATAACTGAAGCTTATTTCCCTCCAAGGATTGTTGAATTTCACACAAATCTGTGACGAAGCTAACGGTCCGTCAAAGTTTGTGATGTATTTGAATACCTAGGGGAAGCTTGTGGGATACAACTTTACGGAGTTTTTTGAATACTTGCGGAAAGCTTGTGTGTGGGAATCGTGGGATATAGCTTTACTTCAGGGAAGTTTGTGATATTTACCCATATATATATAGAGAGAGAGATGGTGTAGTAGATTTTAAGATATGAGATCCACATGACATGAAGTAGCAGTGGCAGAGTAAGTTTACATGGAGCACATTTATCTATTCTCATATCTTTAACAATGTGTTATGAATTTAGAGAAAAAAATGTGTGGCATGAAGAGAAAGGCATAGAAGATGAGAAATGTGATTGTCATGGGAACTTCAATTTTAAAGCTGCTTGGAATAAATGCAGGAAAAAGCAAACAGAGTCAATTGGCATAATCTTGTTTGATAATTCTGTAGGCCTAGAACTTCTCTTATAGCTTGCTTTATTATGCATGATATCTTACCCTCTCTTCATAATTTAAAGAGAAGAGGTATCTATACTTTAGCCATTTGTCATTTGTGTAGAAGAGATGAAGATTCTACTGGACATATTTTCTAGAGGTGTCCTTTTGCTCAAGAGCTTTGGTTCTGGTTTATTGATTGTTGCAATTGGGAGAACTTTGAAGATTTAAGTTCATTTCAGGAATTGGTAGATTGGTTTTTGCTTATTCCTCTTCTTCTCAGTTGAGGGACTAAGTTGTAATACCCCGATATTTTAAAAAAGATTTATTAATTAAATTAATTTATATTATATTATTATTATTATTATTTTTAAATGATTTGTTTTATTTAATTAGGTGCTTGATAGTTGTGATTTGTTTTATTTAATTAAGTGCGTAGGTAAATTGTATTGTTTTAATTAAATTATATTTTGTAATTTTATTTGTTAAATTTATACGGTGTTTGATTTGTGGAATGCTAGTTAGTGAATTGTTTATTTGATTTGCGTGATTTTATATTGGTGTAACTTTATTTAATTTCATTATGTTAGGTATTTAAGTTATTTGGATTGGGATTAAAGGAAGTTGGACCAACGGATGTGGTATTGGGCTTGAAGGAAGCCTTGTTGGGTTAATTGGTAAAGGCCCGTGGTTGTGAGGATATTTAATAATTATCTTTGCATAATTATACCTATATAATTACATGTGTATATTAATTCATTATTAAATCATGTGGAGGGGTATATATGTCAATATAATTATATATTGATATATATAGGTATATATAATTTATTTAACTAATGGTTATATATGGAAGGTAATATATATATATATATATATATATATATATATATATATATATATATATACATTAAAATATATGTATGTATATATATTATTTAAAAGATAAATATTATTTATTTTATATGATAATAATCCTAATGGGAAAAGGATTTAGGTTTTTGAATGTGTATAAATAGACACATAAGACTTTAGGGTTAAGAGTTTTTCCACGTTAGAAAAATAAGAGAATTAGAGAGAGAAGAAGAAGGGCTAGCGAAGAGGAGGCCGGATCAAAGAACGTAAGAGGAGACCAAATTTGGAAAAGAAAAGGCGAGTTCTTCTCTACTTCTCCTCTTAGAACTCATAAACTTATCACCTTGATTATCGAAATTATAATTTTATTTTATTAAATTAAATTATTATTCAGATTGGAGGAGCATATTTATTCTTTACAAAATTATAGAATTAAACATGTGAATATATGTATGCAATGTTCTGATAATTTAGATCTTGTATGTGAGGTTAGGTTAAGTTAATTAAATTTTATTTTTTTTAAAATTTTTATATCTTGCGTTAACCTTGTGTAGCACGATTAATTAAATTAAATGGATTTTAATTTAATTGTATATGTTCATTTATGCCCAAAATAATAAATAAATCTTTTGGAATTTTCTGAGTTTTTTTTTAAAATTTTCTGGAATTAATTTATATTTTTAATGTTATTATAGAAATTATTTATATATACTGTTATATATAGAAATAGGTTAAATTGTTTAACATATGACATTACTGGAGGCGGCTGTAGCAAATAGGGTGTGCAATCCAGTGTGGTGCGGCTTAGAGTAAGTTGGTGTAGCACTGATCTGGGCCATGGGTTAAGTTGATGAGTGATTAGAATAATCCTATGCTTCGCGGTGCATGGAGGGATGGTGCACTTGAGCATCTAGACCATTCATTAGGTCTGGTCAAAGGAGGGATTATCCAGTATAGCGCGGCGTACCAAATCAACCAACAGCAACCAATTAGGAGCTGCCAACACGCGCCGAGAGTGGCTCAGGCGCGTGAGGGCGCGTGCAGGCGTGTGGACGCGCCTGCCGGTAAGGGGAAGCGCGTGGAGGCACGTGGGAGTAGTCTAGGGGTATGTGGCGGCGCGTGAAGGCGCGTGGGGATGCGTGTGAGGTCCTGGAAAGTTGCTTGAGACTCCGGTGAAGTTCCAGTATTTATCTTAAGCTTGTTAGGGTTAAAATTAATCATTAGAGGGTGTGTTCTTGATGTTCTGAGAGCCTCAGAGTGTTACTAAGAGACCTAGTAGCATTTAGTGGTATAAATACAATTAATTAAATATTTTTGCAATGAAAGGAGGGTAGATATGATTTTAAATAGTCAACGATTGGTATGGAATGTATGATACACACATATATATATATATATATTATAAAATATATGTGTATATATATATTATTTAAGATTATTAAATATTATAAATCTTGTTTGGTATGACTTGATTCGTGTATGGTATGGTTGATTTAAAAGCGTAATAGATACACGGTTATTAAATTAAGGACATGCTTATTATATGCATGTGAAGTCTATGTATAATTATACCTAGAGTTAAGTTTAAAGTTAGTACATGGTTGAATTGTAGGCATGGATGAGTTGCCAAAGGCTTTGATATACTGCCTTATTGGTTATGAATAAATTTCATATATGGGAAGCATGGTTGAATTGCTAATTAATTGTAAAAGTAAATATATTGAAGGAAGCATGGTTGAATTGCTAGTATATAAATAAATATATTTATAAATGGCATGGTTGATTTGCCGGTGCATATTTAAATCGCTATATGTGTATATGACTAAATTACTGTTTAGGATGGAGTTAAGGTGAGTGGGGTTTACTTTATGAGAAAATTATAAAAAGGGGGGGCTTGGTCTAGGTATGACTAATAATTAATTATTGGTGAGTGGTTTTGACAATTTAATGCCCTATTAACAGATAGGATTCTTGTACTATATATATAAGTATTTATATATATTGGTAGCATCGTATATTAAAGTTAAAGCTTAATTAGGGATGGTTCTGGTAACGATGATCTGTTTATTGGTTTTCAGAGGCTTGGTAGAGAGAACTTGCTCGTAGGGTTTAACCCGCGATTTATTTTTCAGGTTGTTAGAAGGTCAAGTCTCAAGGTTGAGGATCCGCAGCTGGAGGACTTATCCATTCCTTCTATTTGCTTAAAAGTAGGATATTAGTTTTGTTTCAGTTGATATTAGTATTTATTTGGTTGAAATTCTAAATAGTAACTTTTGGTTAAGGGGTCCTTGAGTTACGGGATTCCCGAGTTGTAACCATTTGGAAGTTATTAATGGATTTACTATTAATTGGATTTCTTCAGCGTTTTATTTTATTCTTTATTTCATTTTGTAATCCGTGCTTGTTTAAATACTATAATTAGTTTGATATTCCCTAATTTTTTGCGCGGACTTGATCAACCCGTGTTCCGAAATTAGGGGGTATCACAGTTGGTATCAGAGCACTCCAGGTTCAAGTGTCCCTAGGGTGTCTTTCGTTATGTGAATTCCGCTTTGTGTACTCTTTTCTTTAGAGCTTAAGTTTAGGATACATTGTATTCCTTTACGGTCCGTTAAAATCGTACTGATGTCTGTCGTTCTATGTTAACAGCATGGTTAACACTGGAAGAGGACAGAATCTGAACCGTCGACAGAGGAGAGCTGCACGTAGGCAGCAAGAACACCTGCAACGTCAGCAAATGGAGGAAGAGCAACAACGACTTGGGTTTCAGGATGAGGGTCAGGTTCAGGAGGAGCAAGAGTCCGGCTCAGGGCAGGGATCCAGAGTATCCTCCTCACATCAATGACCTCATTGCTCGGGCTATAGAAGCTGGGGTAGCAGCTGTACTTCGAAATCAGCCTCAGGTACAGCCGGCACCGTTACCAGCACCGGTTGTTCAGACTGATACCTGGGAGAAGGCCAGGAGTTCTTTCACAAAAGGGAGTCCACCTGAGTTCACGGGCTCCACCGATGCGAGAGCAGCTCACCAGTGGAAACAGGACATTGAGCGACATCTTCGCTTGGTTCAGTGCACGGAGGTTCAGAAGCAGATGCTTGCTACCTTCAAGCTAGTTGGGGATGCACTGCAGTGGTGGGAGTCAGTTACCACCATAGAGGAGAGGATGGCATTGACTTATGATGAGTTCAGTGCACGCTTTGAAGAAAAGTATTTCCCTTATGCAGTTAGGGCAGGCATGAAGACTGAGTTTCTTAATCTGCAGCAGGGGACCATGACAGTGGCGGAATATGAACAGCAGTTCACACGCTTATCTCTCTTTGCACCGGAGGAGGTGGATACAGAGGAGAAGAAGCGCAACAGTTTCGTCAAAGGACTGATGTGGTCTATCAAGAGAGCTATTACTGGTAGTCCAGCCTACACTACTTATGCTCAAGTGGTGGACGCAGCTTTGCAGCTTTATCAGCTAAATGAGGATTTCAGACAGACTAGGGCTGAGAAGCGGGGTGGCAAAGACTTTGCTAATCAGCCAGCTGAGAAAGTGAATGATAATGGGAACCGACAGAATGATAAGGGCAGATTCCAGGGCCAGCAGCCTTGGAAGAGGCACAAGGGTAATTCAGAAGTTCAGAGAGAGGGAGTTTCCACTCCGCAGACTGGAGCACCTCAGATTTGTGAAGAAAGTTATTTAAGTGCAATTTTGTGAAGTTAAAATTGTAAAAAAGTTATTTAATTGGCCTGAAAAAACAAATTCTTGAGAAAGGTAGTTATATCAATTTGACTATTTCATGTATTGTTTTGCAGTAGAAACCAGAAGCTTGTGATGTCATTCTTCAACAATGCTAAGAAGATGGTTAAGGATGATGGAGAGATTCATATTTCTCACAAATCAAATGGCTTCCATCTGGAATGGAAAATCGATTTGATAGCATTAGTTTGCGGCCTTCGGCTTAAGGAAGAGATGCCATTTAACTTGTACGACTATCCAGGTTACAACAACAAATATGGTTACAGAGGTGATAAGAATTTCAGCTGCAGCCCTAGCTGCACTTACAAGTTTGTGCTCTGGAACTAATCAAAGAAGGATGACATGCCAGCATGTATTTTGTCAAGTCGTTAAGTTATTCTCAGCTGAATATATGTAGCCATGGTATTATTAGCTTTAATATAAATTACCTAACTAACTTAATTTGCTTAGGAGTATCTTTTGTGTGTGTTCCCTGTGGAATCTCCTTTGATGTCCATACTTTTGTACCTTGCACAACACTTCTTCATTTCGTGGTGGAAAAAGTGATCAATATGATATTTATATAAAGTGATCAATATGATATTTATATATAGTGGGATCCACGTGAACTTATATATTGGCCATCTTTTATTTTATTTTATTATTATTATTTTTTCGAATAGCATTACTCTAATCTACGAATTATGTGATGTTTTTGGATTGATTAGTAAACTAATGAGCCTAAGATTTTGACATGACTGGCACTACTTTTAGAGTGACGGGCAATCTGGGTTAACTCACAACTTTCAACAACCTACTCATTAAACAAAAATATGATAAAATATTTTAGAGTGGCTGTAATAAATCTTTCAAATAATATATTTTACATTTTTTTATATATGTCTAAATTTAAAATTTTAAACTTGAATATTTAAAATTTAAAAGAATAAGTTAATAATTTTTTAAAGAAATAATACATGTCCTATATGTCCCCTTACACTTAAATTAAGACGAAGGGAGTATTTAAATAGTTTGAACCATTTCCTATATTGTTTCCATTATAAAAAGAAACATATGAATAGAGAGATATGGGTAAATTCTATTCAAAATCGAAAAATTAGGCAGAGTGAAAAATGCAAGATGCAAATAAGTAATGAAAACATTCATCTAGGTCATATATTTAATATCAACAACTATATGTAATTCTCTGGTGGGATTGATCATTTTTTTTTTTTTTTGGCTTTGTGGGTGATTTTGTAACTGAAATTGTATTATATTTAAGGAATAGAATCTCAAGTGGCCACCAATGTACAATTTAATTCTAGATTTGGTGACTCCTAATTTAACTGCGGATAATTTTTTGTAAGTTTGGTCACACGTATTACATTTTTTTTTTTTTTTGGAAACAGGAACTCCCGCAGCAATCAATCGAAAGGAATAAATGCCTTGAAAAGAGTCGAATACCGGCCATTTCAAACCTGCCTTCAAGCTCCAACCATCACAGCTATGCCCCGGGCGCCACACTTATTACATTTTGCTTTATTGAATTTTAGCAAAAATTAATTGGCTGCGTTATTATAAATTTAAATGTGGGACTAAATAAACAGTAATAAATTAGAAATTCTCACGTGCATCCCACGTGCACCTGTACTAGTGTGCCTGTGTGAGATATACAAAAATTACCCTACCCTCCCTGGCCAGTGCCACCACTACTTTCTCTGCAAAGTTTGTTTCTCACTCTAAAAATTATTCTTTACCAAATTTCTCTCTCTCAATATTGTATCTTCTTCATCAAACCAATATCAGTCACTTCAAAACCCTAGGTCCCTAACTTTATATCCACCAATCACCATCAGCAATCCAAAGTTCCCCTCCTTATATCTATTACAATCTATATATATAGAGAGAGATATATAGGTGTATATCATATGACTATGGAATTCAAGTTTCGAGCCATCGACGAGCAAGCGTCCACGTACCTCCATCCTTCTTCAAGCATGAGTTACTTCACAGAGCAAGCACTTCGAGGTCGGTACAAGTCCTAGATTCTTCAATTATCTGTGACAACAACTAGACATTGATGAATTGGAAAGAAATTTCGTGTCTGACGTGTGTGTGTGTGTATGTGTATATATATATATATATATATGATTTCCCGCATGTTATTGCAATCAAACAAGAGTTTGTGTTGATTTTCATTTCGATTTCAGTAATTTTGTTCGTCTACAACATTTTTTTTTCTTTCCCACCAATAACCTTGTCGTGTTTCAGCCGGTTACCGGAGAAATGATTTTGGACTCGGCAACGACTTGTTTCGAAAGTCTAGCAATCTTGATGAGGCGATTCTGAGGGAGATTGAAAAAGATCGAATCAGAGAAGAAATAATGGCAGCAGAGATGGGCCGGAAGCGTTTATTAATAGAAGCAGAGGTGAGCAGAAGGGAAAGAGAGATGATGGCATTGCAAAGAGGGGATGGATTATCGCATTCTTCTCCGTGGACGTGGATGTGGATGGAGCCGAGACCATCAGGAGGAAGTAGATTACTTGAAGAAAGATTGGCATTTTCGCTCCAGAAAAGAGTGACTCGCCGCCGAGAGATTGGAGGACTCGACACTTTTGAGATCATGCCCTTTGAACGGTTCGTTTTCTCTCTGTAACAACCAACAAAGTTAGATGATCAATTTGTGTAACCAGTTAATCTTGTGTTGGGATCAACAACATGGGTTATGAAACAGCCATGGTTTTGGAGAGACACAAACAAAATGGTGTCTTTTCATTCTTTTTTGTGTGTGTGAAAGAACAGTCTAAGGCTTAGTTTGGATACATTCTAGAAAAACCAAAAGAAATGAATAGAAAGAAAATAATAAATATAATTTATATTTATATTTGGATAGATAGAGAAAAAACGAAAGAAATAAATAATATTCTTGGTATAACAACACACAGAAGAAAGAAAACAAAGAAAAATAATAATTATTATTTTACCCCTTTTTGCGGGGTTACCCCTAACTAACCAAGATCTGTAATTTATAAGCCAATGGATGATGGCCACCAGAAAATATATGTATATATATATATATATATATATTTAGGGCAAACCATTTCAGCCTCCCCAATGCCAGCTCCTCTATCCCTCCCCCCCCCCCCTCTCTCTCTCTCTCTGCTACTGCTAACTTGTATGTAATGGTTTTGTTTTAATTTTTTTTTTCTTCTAAATCAACTAACCAAGGTCTGTAATTTATAGGCCCATGGATGATGGCCACCAGAATATATATATATATATATATAGGGCAAATCATTTCAGCCTCCCCAATCGCCTCCATCTCTATTCTCGTTCTCAACTCTGAACCTGCCCTCTCTCTCTCTCTATCTCTCTCTGCAAACCACAAAATCTACAAGGATCAGAAGTTCAAAACCCATATATTTCAGTATGTCTATATATATATATATATATAAATATATATATTTGTATCCCTTTGTGTATGTGTTTATAAATATACATATTTTTGTATGTGTATATATATATATAAAGAAAGCAAATCATTTCAGCCTCGCCAATCGCCTCCATCTCTCTGTTCTCGTTCTCAACTCTGAACTTGCCCTCCCTCCCTCCCTCTCTCTCTCTCTCTCTCTCTCTCTCTCTCTCTCCAACTGCAAGCTACAATTATCTTCCTTTTCCTTGAAATCCCTCCAAATCTTGTCAATTTTGGAGGGATAGAATTTGGAGGGACAGCTCCAAATCCTTCTGAATCCTTTCTTTTCTTTCCTATTTTTTCATCCAAACAGACAAACCAGTATCCTTCCCTTTCTTGCCTAAAGAAGAAATGAATGGAAATGAAAAGACAACATGTTAGACAGGTGTCCCTCCACTTTCTCTTGTGGGGGCCCGGGGGTAGTGGCGTCATTTACTGTAGCCATGTGAAAATCACTTTATAAATTACCAAGTTTTTTTTTGGGAATGTTATTTAAATTACCAAGTTGAAATATGTATTCTATTAAGTTCTGATGTTTTTTAAAATTATTATGAAAAAACAATACTAGGACTGCGGGAGAGAGGAGGGTTATAATAAATGTTAGTTGAGTAATTTTACACAAATCTATAATCCACTTTCGTCACGGAAAGAAGTTAGCCTCCATCTCTCGCGAGGCATAGGAACAAGTGCATATAACTTTTATCATTATTTTAAAAAATTCTGTAAAAAATATCTTTAATCTTTTCATATTATATAAAAATATACTTTAATTGAAATTTTAACATAAATTAGTATTATAATACTTATTTTACTTTTTGTTCTTTTGAAAATGCCAAGGGAATATATATGTCACTAATCCTATGATACAGGGTATTATATTCACATTACCTTATAAATATATATATATATATATATATATGTATATATAAATTTTTTTCTCTATATATATTTTTAAACCTTTTTTTTTTAAAAAAAAACTTTGACAATTTGTAGAATAAGAATTTGAATTTTTTGAGATGTGAGTGTGCTATTTTCTATTAATTTTTTTATTATTATGTATTTTTTTTACCATTACTTTTAAACAAAAACAAAAACAAAGAGGAAAAAAAGAAAAAAATCTCAATATCAGTGTGCACTGGTTTTTTTTTTTCCGGAGTTCGGAGAGTTTGGAGCGATTTGTGTTTTTAGTTGACACTTTATTTTTACATTTATTTTACTATTTTATTTTTATTTTTATCTTGTCCGCGTCCTCCAATAATGTCATTTTCGGTCATTTTACAAAATGATCTATTTTTATATATTTTATAAAATGGTTCAGTAAGGGTAATTTAAGTCAACTTAGGGTTTAAATTTGTCGGGATCTATTTACACCAAATTGAAACTTTAGGATTGTTTTTGTGTTTTTTTAAACGTGAGGGGTGTGATATACACAGTAGGCTTTAGCGCTGTTTTCTGTACTTAACCCTTATTTGAATATTAATTTTTAAAAATGTTATTAAATCTAAATGCAATTATTAATATATAACAGAGGAAACATTCCTAATCATCACTAAATATATTTTAAAATTATAAATCTGTTTAAGAAGTATTGGACATGTATTGACCATATATTAATATATAAATATATATATAAAAGTAGTAGATTTGAAGATGTAAGACCCACGGTACATGAAGTAGTAGTGTGGTAGAGTAAGTTTAGAAACTTAAGATGGAGCACATCTATTCTCATCTCTTTAACAATGTGTGGGATGAAGAGAAAAGAAATGTGACTGGTATAATGTTAATGTTGTTAATAGTGCTGGGAAGAAGCCTAAGATTGTAGGAGGACAAGGTTGTCTTCCACCATCACTAGTAGTTAAGGATGGTTTTGGGAGCAAAGCATCAGCAGAGTATTATGTATTAGCAGCAGCCCAAAAGCAGGAGAGATGGTTGAAGCACTACAGCAGCTCTCACAAAATACTGCTTGTAGGAGAGGGGGACTTCTCTTTCTCAACTTGTTTGGCTAAAGCTTTTGGTTCTGCTCACAACATGTATGCTACTTCTCTCAACTCTATAGGTAAACCACTCAATCTTTTCTTTTATTTTGACAGTTCTAATTACTTAATTCGTATAAGTATACTTGTAATTCATGGTAACCCCACCCATAAGATGTTATATATATTACTGGCCGAATTTGAATTAGAGTTATTGTACGTGATTGTCAGGGTTTTTGATGCAACACTATGGTGAATCCGTGCTCAACATTGATCAACTAAAGATTAGAGGTTGTACTGTTATGCATGATGTTGATGCAACGAAGATGGCAGATCATTGTGTGCTCAGGACCCTCAAGTTTGATCGAATAATATTCAATTTCCCCCTCGCTGGCTTTTTCAAAAACGAACCACGCGAATCTGATATCAGGTACCTCTCAAATTTTCTTTTCTCATTCATCTTTGTATGCATTAAGGAATTGGTATAAACATACTTTACCCCCTTCGATTGATTTTTGTATCTGGTGGGTTGGAAAAATTGTAGTATATAAACTGATTTTTTTGGTCCTACTGTAGAAGCAACTTTAAGTGGCAAGGGAGTCATATAATTCAGAAGTTGTATAGCGTTGCCCTTGGTGTTTGTGTGTGAAAATATTCAAGTGCAATATTATGAATTTACAATTCTGAAGAAAGTTCTTTAATTTCCAAAAAAAAAAAGAAAAAACACACAAATTCTGTAGAAAGCTAATTATTACTATATCAATGCACTGTTTCATGTTTTGTTTTGCAGTAAAAACCAGACGCTTGTGGAGTCATTCTTCAACAATGCTAAGACGATGGTCAAGGATGATGGAGAGATTCACATTTCTCACAAATCAAATGGCATCTTTCTGGAATGGAGAATTGAATCGTTAGCAATAGGTTGCGGCCTTCGGCTTAAGGAAGAGGTGCCATTTAACTTGCACGATTATCCTGGTTACAACAACAAATATGGGTTCGGAGGTGATAAGAATTTCAACTGCAACCCTAGCAAAACATACAAGTTTGTGCTCGGGAACTGAGTGCATTTTCTTCAAGTGTCAAATTTGTTATAAGCTTTCTCAGCTGAATATATCCATGCTATTAGTAGCTTTAATGTAGATCAACTAACTTAATTTGGTATTGATATGAAGATGACGTCATGTGAGATACACATGAATGTGTGTGTATATATATTATTATATTGGTCGGCTTTCTTTTGTGTTAATCGGTTTAGTCTCTCACCTTGAGTAGTATTACTAAAATTAATTATGCAATTTTTTTTGGATCTCTGCTTGTATACTTTTATATTATTGTGTGCGTAAAATGTTTTCAATATTTGTATATATGCTAAAGGCCATTATATAGTAGTGTTTGAGCTATAAGAAGTCTTATTTCTTTAATGTTGAGAGATACATAATATTAGTAATAATTAAAATAAAAAATTATAGTATGTTTTTTTATTTTTTAAAATGTGCGACCTTTTAGAAATCTATATATTTGTTTTAGATTCTTAAAGAAATATTATTTAATTTTTTTGCACATGAAATGATTATTATAAAGAATTATTAAATAATAAATTTCTTAACTAACTAAAGTAAAACTAAAAAATATCTTATTTAATTTGTTTGCAAATATTTTTGCGCCTATATACTGTGCGCGTGCGCACAGACAGACATTTAATATTTTTGTATTTAAATAACGAAACTAAATTGATTAGCGAACTGATTATGGCCTCATTTAATATTTTTATATTTAAATAACGAAACAAAAGTGATTAGCGGGCTGATTATGGCAATGATTTATTATTCGTTTTTAATATTGTGGGTTTATTCTTAATTCAACATATTTTAAACCATTTTTACACTACATCTTGATTATTGCCGTACATAATAAATGTTGTTAATTATTCAATAAATGATAAATCCTTGTGACTTCAAAGATTTGCGAATTGAATTCACGAATAGTGGAAGAATTCACTTCCAAACCGCCAACTCACCCGTGGAGTCCGAGAACAATACCTCTTCAGAACCATTACGTGACTTAGCTCTTGAGCATGTAATATCTTGATTTTATAGTTTTGTGGTTGATAGAAAACCTTTTTAGGATGGAAAAATTATTTGTCTTGACTAATTATTAGTTGACACGTATACAAAATTTTGAATAAAGTTGAAATAAAGCTGACAAAATTGTGTACGCGTCAACTATTAGTCCCATAATTATGTAATAATTTTTCGGTTAAAATGTTATTTGATGTACGCCTCCGGATCCTTGACAGTGCAGCACATTACTGCACTGATATTGCATTGGACAATTCACAAACATCACACGGTGTGATAGTGCCCATGTGTAATATTTATGAATTGTCTGGGCGTAGCAAGGACATGTACATAAGGGTGGCAATTCGTGTTTGCGCGGGTCATAATCGTGTCATATCGACTTAAGAGTACTTTATTAAATAACTCTAACTCGAACACGACATTTTTAATATTCGTGTGAGTAACCCTCGACACTAACCCGATCTATTATTAAAATAAAAAATATATATTTTAAATTATCAATAAGATATATATTTTTAAGGCAAGAAGTGTTAGAAGTTAGATTAGTTACCACTGGGTTATCGAGGCATTGCAATTATTAATAATACTCAATAAAACAATAAATGCTAAAAAAAATATAAGTTTCAATTTGACCAAATTACTAAATAGCCTATAAGGCATTGTAAATTATAAGATACAAGTTTATATTATTATTTTGGAACTTAAATATTAATTTGTTTATGACACGTATAATTAAACGGGTATAATCAGGCTATATGGGTTGAACCACTTTAGTCCAAACATGACATAATTAACTAAACAGATTAATGGTGTTGACCAGTTTACTACCCGAATAAAGTGGAACTCACCGTGGCCGTTTGGGCTTGTTCACCGGAATTGCCCCTGAATAGCTTCAATAAACGCCTAATTTTTAAACCGTTAATTCAAGATATTTGGATGATACATTGGGTTGGGCTTTAACTTTTGGGTTGGGCTTCTTAGGCTTGTAAGCCTTAATATTGGGCTATTTTGGCCCAAGTCCTTCAAAAAACAAACTTTCGGAACCCATTTATGAAATATTAAAAACATGTACTACAAGAATTTAAAGTGTGGAGTATTCACTAACTTTCAAGGTGGCACTAATTAAACAAAAATATGCTAATCGTGTACGTTACGGTAACGGATCCTTCCAACTGCAATCCCGGGCCTATCATTTCGGGTCTACTTTACACCTTTCTATTAAAAAATGGTACCCAAGATCGATTCTATCTCTCTATATGAATTTATATATATACACACACATATTTGTTTTACTTATAAAATCATTAAATTCTTAGGTTGTTTGTAGACTTGTAGTTTCATATTGTGAATAATTACTTTACAGAATTAATTTTAAGTTTGAAGTCTGAACTTAAGAATTAAGTCACATAGAATGGGAACGGAACAAGAGTAAATTTGAAAACGGGAGCGTGACAATCGCAAAATTATGTCATAAATATTGAGAATTTGAGCGCGGCGCTTGGAAGTAATACCTGTTGAGAAGGATTGTGTAATTTAAGTTTGAACCATTCCGTTATAGGCAGCGAAAAAAAAAAAAATTGAAGATGCAAATAACTGATGGAAACATTTATCTAATTGGATATCAACAACTATGTAATTCTCTAATGAATGATTGATAATACTATTGTAATTGAAATTGTATTATATAAAATAATAGAATCTCCAGTGGCCACGAATGTACAATTTAATTATAGATTTGGTGACTTATCTATTTTATAATTTTTATTTTTATATTTTTTTCAAGTTTGGTCACTCACTATTATCTAATTTTCTCTAGATTTTAGTGTGTAAATAGTAACGTAATTAATGCACATGTTCTAATTTTCATAGAAAAATTAAAGGCTTAAATGAAGGAGAAGACAATGAAGGAAAAACTAACCAAAAAAAAATCCAAGATGTACATCTTAATCTAATAAATCCAGCATGTTAAAGGTGGTGAATTATTTTTGAGTGATTAGCTCTTTAGTTTTAGTCGTTGGATTAGAAAAGTTTGAAGTTGTGTGAAAGAAGCTTACTTCCTATAAGTAAGCAATACGTTTCAAAACAGTAAAATTTTAAAAAACCAAACAAAAAAAGAAAAGAAAAGAAAAAGACCCGTTTCTCTCGCCTGTACATACACACCCCCAATATCTTCTCTCCAAATCAAATCATCATCATCCAATGAAGACTCAAATTTTCTGAATCACCATATTTAAATCCTAGATCTTGAAATGACAAAGAATCTCCAATGATTTTCAGGTGAAGAAAACCTAATCATGTCCATTGTTGTATGGTAAATCCCAAAACTAAACATTATTATTATTATTTTTTGTTTCTCTCTAATCACCATCCTTCTTTCTTTGTGAAAAAAGAAAAAAATGAGATTTCTTTTGATGTCTACCTCTTAATCACTTTCTTTCAATAACCTATTACCTTTTTTTTTTTATTTTATTTTAATCCAATCATTTAATCCTCTTGTTTTCTTTATTATTATTTGGGCATTGTTTGATCAAATAGTAGTAGTGGTATGGTTAGGCTTTCGGAGTATCCGAATAATTTTATTCCCATCATTTTTTGTTTCCGGGTATTCTTCCTTTTTTCTTTTTTTGGTTTACGAGTTTTTACCAAAATGTAGATAGGTTGGTCTGAGTTTTAGCATAATGAAGAGAGGTCTTAAAAAAATCTGAATGGACCAACAAAAATTTGGAGAATAGAGAATCTGCCATCATGTACAGAGAATCAAATTGTGCATACTCTAAGAAAAGATGAGTCGTACATGCTCCTGATTTCAGATGCTTACAGATATTATTTGAAGAACCAAACCAAGAGAATGCAGTGAGAGAGCACAGAGAGTCATTTTTGAAAAGTATGAGAAAGTTCATCTGAGGGTACATAATAGCATTTGTCTTTTGTTTTAAAACTTAATTACACTGTCTATTTTAATTAAATTTGAATTTCCTTGTGGAGTGTATATATATATATCTATATATATATTTGATTTCTTTTATTGTTTACAGAGACATTTTTAATACACGTGGGTTGTCTTTGGCCTGTGTGTCACGATCTGTCTCGTTACTTCTCACTTTATTCCTTCTCTCCGATCCCAACAACCTCTATGTACATTCCTTTTAGCATAGTGATCACAACATAGTCGGTTCATTGATTCACTGCAATATTCGTTGCTTCTCTCATCGTAGTAGCATACAATACATGTATATATCTGCATATATATATATATATATATATATATATATATGCATTTGTGTGTGCGCTATAGCTCCCCTTCTGTCAATTTGAGATTGAGAGAGTGCTGTGTTGAAATCTCAGGGTGTTTGATATTTCAATTTCGCATCAAAGCATATGCACGTGAAGCGTAATTAAGATGAAACCAAATTATATAGAATTCTTCAATAAGTTGCGGCTCAATTTAAGTTCATTTTAAGACCAGACCAAGACTTGATCTTTAAGGAAGCAATTTTAATTAAATTAATGACGAAAATCCCCATAAAGCTAAGCTAGTCATTGAGAATTGTAGTGATCCCATCTACAGCAAAGAATAAGTTGCCATGAAGTAATGAATCCACCATATCTATTCATTCTACCATATATACACTCATTCACCGATTCTGTATCATCTTACTCTATATGCACAGTAAAGGGTTTTTTTTTTTGGTTTTGGTTTCGGAGAGGAAGAAGGTATTATAGATCAGTAAGATGTCGTCTAAGAAGACTTCATATTTATCATACTCAGTTTTTGTTATCTTACTTGTAACCCCTTTTGTTGTCATCTCCTTAGTCAACTATACACTAGGTCCCAACAGATCTTGGGTTTCATTGTCCTCTCCATTGGAAGCCCTTTTCGGTTCTTCCTTTTTCAATGGCTCGTTTCAGTCCAAAGATTCAACTCTGCAATCTCCATTGGTAAGAATACATACATACATACATTATATTATGTTATGAATCAACAATTGGCTGTTCTTTCATTACTCATTTGCATACCAATTAATCACTTTTTTTTTTTTTTTTTTTTTTGTTTTGTTAATTATTAACAAATAGGAAGAGGGGACATCTAATGCCAAAAGCCCTGCTACTGTGCCCAAAGGAGTTGCTAAGAGAAACACAAGATTAGAGAGGGTTGAAGCTAGTTTGGCCAAAGTCAGGTCTACCATTAAAGAAGCTGCCCAAAATCGCAACACCACATCTACCCATGAGGACCCAGACTATGTCCCTAATGGCCTCATCTACAGAAATCCCAATGCCTTTCATCGGTACAAATTACCCATTTCAATTCAACTACTCTTTCTTTCTTAATTGTGTACTAAATGAATATATATATATATATGTGTGTGTGTGTGTGTCTTGTATGAAAATTGTAGGAGCTATCTAGAAATGGAGAAACTCTTTAAGATCTATGTCTATGAAGAAGGAGAGCCTCCATTGTTCCACAATGGACCGTGTGGGAGTATATATTCCACCGAGGGAAGGTTCATTAGTGAAATGGAACAAGGGAACTTATATAGAACCAAAGACCCTGACGACGCCTTCGTATACTTCCTTCCATTTAGTGTGGTGATGATGGTTCAGTACCTCTATGAGGTCGGTACCTATGGATTCCAAGACAGTGGTCATATTGTTGCTGATTATATAAACGTTATTGCAACCAAACATCCCTTTTGGAATAGAAGCCTTGGCTCTGACCACTTCATGCTCTCTTGCCATGATTGGGTGAGTTTTGGTTAATTTCTCAGACTTGGAAGTAAGTGTTTTGGCCTGATGACTAATGTTTTGGCTTCATGGTTTTCAGGGTCCAAGCACAACTTCTCATGTACCAAATCTATTCAACAACTCAATCAGAGTTCTTTGCAATGCCAACACCTCTGAAGGATTCAATCCTTCTAAGGATGTGTCATTGCCTGAAGTCAATCTCAAAACCAGAGAAATGACAGGGCTTCTTGGCGGTCTCTCTCCTTCCCAACGTTCAATTCTCGCCTTCTTCGCTGGTGGACTACACGGCCATATTAGGCATCTGCTTTTAGAGCAATGGGAAGGCAAAGATCAAGATGTGCTCGTATATAAAGCCGTTCCAGCCAGAGTTTCCTACGAGGCAATGCTGAAAAAGAGCAGGTTTTGCTTGTGCCCCAGTGGGTACGAAGTTGCAAGTCCACGAATTGTTGAAGCTATCTTCTCGGAATGCATTCCTGTGCTGATTTCAGATGGCTATGTCGCGCCATTCAGCGACGTTCTGAACTGGGATGCGTTTTCCATCACCGTGCCAGTGAATGACATACCCAATATAAAGAAGATACTAACGGGCATATCTGAAGCTCAGTACTTGACAATGCACAGAAGGGTGAAGCAAGTGCAAAGGCATTTTGTGCTCAATGGACCGCCCAAGAGATTTGACATTTTTCATATGATTGTTCACTCCGTTTGGCTGAGAAGATTGAATGTTCATGTTAAGGAATTGAATTTTGAAGATGATCGACATTGATTACGAGATAATGGCTCAACTCTAAAGGATTTTGCGCTCACTGGAAAGTACCAAACGTAAATGTATTAGGTTCCAGGATCAAATTGTTTGATAGTGAGCTAGCTTCCAAGAATAACATTCAGATGATCATCACTTTGCGACTCAAACTGAACTTTTTGAAGACTTGATAACTTGGCATAATTGCCTCTTGTAGTGGTCCTTCCAAGAAGGCTAAAGAGCAGATCATTTTGGTTTTGATTTTCACTTGCTCATTCCTCTCTGTTTTGTTTAAATTTCAGCTTTTACTAATTGCACTTTTAAGATTGATCCATCAAAGATAAAAGTAGAATGGTACTTGCTTTGAACAGACGTTCTAGTTAGGCTTGTGAATTTGGATTCGAGTTGAGAATAACATGATCAAATCTATATGCTATTTACTTCTCACAAGATTCTTGATTAATGACAATATTGAGCAATGATCTTTTAAATATGCTAATTTTTTTTTTTAGAAAGGATGATGAAATTCTTAACGACAAGAAAGGGCCTCTGGATTAGGTATTAGGATGCCACTTCGACTTTTGGAAATGGGGCTTATATATGTAGCTGCCCTATTTCTCTCATGCTACTGTTGGGGCACAGCGGAAGCAAAAGAAAGAAATAAAACAATAATTCAAACCACAATACAAGATATATACGTGGTTCACCCAAAATCAGGGTTACATCTACGAATGAGAAGAGATTCACTATATATGTAGAGATATTACAATAGTAGAGAATTTCAACACCGAACCATGCACACAAACTCTTGACCGAGTTCTTTGTGTACGCCACGAGACTCCCTCTCGCCATCAGTGTTCACTCTACCAAACCCATAACTCACCCCTACCATCATCGTACTCCCTCATGAGGTTACATCTCTCTTAACTCATAACTCTCAACAATAACCTAAGTGTCTATTTATAGAGTCACATACCCAATTCCTTTGTGGATAAGGATTGTAATTTCTTGAAACCCAATTCACGTCTCAATAAGAAATTACCATAAAAAATACACTCTAAAATAGAAACTAATAATAATGAGAATTTGAGACATAATTCCTAACAATCTCCACCTTGGCTCAAATTCCATTACGTCAATCATCGCCTCTCATGGCAATTGAATCTGGACAATTCTCTGCAACTTTAATCTTCTCGATCTTATTGCAGAACTCGGATTATCCCCTCACTATACGTTGCTCAATCAGTCAAACCCCAAGGTTCCACCTTGACTACTCAAGTTCCATACCATGTAACCAAGCCGATTGACTCCACCTACAACTGAAGCCCGTTGTAGCACATGTTGAGACTTCTTGTATTTTCTGGATCTCCTTCACCTTTGACTCTGATACCAGTTGTTGGGGCACAGCGGAAGCAAAAGAAATAAATTTTCTGCATACAAGGATTGAGGACAACTATGGACCGTATTGAAATCTCTTTTCATTTTCACTCATTTTGATTGATTAAGTCATGTTTATTTCTCAAGCATAGTCTTTGTTTGTTTGTTTTCTTGTCATTGTCATTTTAATGTTTCGTATCTGTAGGAATTAAATAACTCTGTAGGATTTTTTTTTTTTTTTTTTTTTTCCAAGTTAGGGGACCTGAAATTATTAATTACACTGTGATTAGCAATTAGGGGACCTGAAATTATTAATTCCTTATATTATTAGACTTTCTAATTTTTTTTTTCTCCAACTAATATTATAGATTTTATTTTTTTATTTTATTTTATTTTTTATTTTTTATTATTTTTTTTTTTCCGAACTACTAGTAGATATTCAATTGTGAGGAATCTTAATTCATTCTAATTTTTTTCATTCCATCTTCTATTTTATTCTTTTGTTTAGAGTTCAAAATAAAAGCTTGTTAAGTGATTTTTTGGGTTTATTTAATTATTGTCTTTAAGTCGATCATGTTTTGTTCAATAGCCGTTCTTATTTCACATGTATTTTTCAACGCCTTGTCTTGCATGTATGAACACATTCCTTTTTTTTTTTTTTCTAACTTCACATGTATTGGACTTTCTATCTTTTGAGAAGTAGATTGCATACAAGGATTGAGGACAACTATGGACTGTATGGAAATATCTTTTCATTTTCACTCATTTTGATTGATTAAGTCATGTTTATTTCTCAAGCATAGTCTTTGTTTATTTTCTTGTTATGGTCATTTTATTTTTATTTTTAGACTCTAACTAGCCAATAGAAAGGACCTAATTTTTTTTTTTTTTTTAAAGTTAGGCTTCTAAAATTATAACTTGTTAATATTATTAAATTTTTTATTTCTTTTTATTATTAGACTCCAACTAACTCCTTTTTTTTTTTTTTTTTTTCCTTCAAAATTAGGGGACCTGAAATTATTAATTCCTTATATTATTAGACTTTCTATTTTTTTATTTATTTCTCCAACTAATATTATAGAAATTTTTTTTCCCGAACTAATAGTAGAGATTCAATTGTGAGGAATTTTAATTCATTCCATCTTCTATTATCTTACTTTTTTTTTTTTTTTTTCATTCCTCTATAAATTATTGAATACATACTCTACTTATAATTGTGGGATTAGTTAAGGTAAATGAGAGATGGATTACATGTTGTTCAATCATTCTTTTATGGTTAATTGTTGTTTAGAGTACAAAATAAAATCTTTGTTAGGTGATTTTTTGGGTTTATTTAATTATTGTCTTTAAGTCGACCATGTTTTATTCAATAGCAGTTCTAACTTCACATGTATTTTTCAGCGCCTTGTCTTGCATGTATGAACACATTCCTTTTTTTCTTTTGCTCTTGCCTGCTTCTACAGTTTCTGCTTTCAATTTATACACAATTACCTAGAGAATTATTTATTACTACTCCATACTATTATATACACCTTTCGTCTCAATATAAATGTCACATATGGGGAGTGGTAATTTGTAAGAGGACATGTGGGACCATGTATGGTCTGCCTGACAAATTACCAAGTTATCTTTTTAAGTTTTGAATATTGATGTTTGAAATTTAAATTCAAAGGATATTTTTGGAATGATGCGAAATATATTGTTTGAAAAAAGAAAATGGACACTTATTTTAGGACAGACAAAAAAAAAAAAACATGACACTTATTTTAAAACGGAGGAGGGAGTATATTTTACTACTTTCCTGAAAGAACATAAAGTGGTTTTCTTGGAAGTTTATCGAAATAATGTCATTTTCAATTTGATAAATAACGATGATAATATGCAAATCATTGTCAAGTTTTCAAGCCCACCAGAATAGACAAGGCTGCGGAAAGAAGATACCAAACGCGTGTCGAGTCCGTTAGAAGGAGAAAACAAAACCGCGGTTTCACACTACGGTCCAGTCTTCCCCGATTAGGACGTTTATATATATACTTACCTATATATTTCTAATATAAAGATTAGGGGGAAGGACTAGAGTTCGATCCTACGCAGTACACTTTTTTGACATATTATATTTAATACAGTAATTTTTAACCCATTTACATTTATAGTCTAAACATAATGTGTTGAAAATACCGAAATTTACACTAAGCAATACGCCCTCCACTCTTGTAAAAAGAGTACTTCATATTATTTGTTTGAGTAAAAAAATTAAAGAAAAAAGAATAAGTGAGAATTGCATTTCTATCTTTATACTCATGAATAATTTGGAAAAAACAAAAATTAACATATTTTTCCAAAATAAAATCGACATTAAATTACACACACATATTTATATATATTATATGCATCTAAATAATTGATTTATTTTCAATATTTTAAATAGACATGTGAGCAATAATATCATGACAAGCTGAGAAAAAATTATTCTTTCATACGTAAAAAGATAAATATTAGTATTCTTTTTAGGGTAAAGTGCAAAAAAATCCCATAAACTATGTCAGAATTTGCAAATACCCCATTGAAGTAAATTTTGTTCATATTACCCTCTAAACTATCACATTTTTTTACAAAATGCCTCAATGCCTGAACTATATTTCATTAAATGACCATAATGCCATTTCTTATTCAATTACACTTAATTTATTTTTCTTATTGAAATAAATTATAAAAAAAAATTCATACTAATTTGATGACAAAATTTTAATTAAATTTGTATAAATTTACCTTTAATTTTTTAAATAAAAATCTTAAGTAAAAAAAAAATTAAAACAATTTAAGTAATCTCTTAAATTTTCATGAATATATTGCATAAAAAGAAGGTATTTTGTATTTAAGTAATTTATTAATCTTTCATGAATATATTGCATAAAAAAGAAGATATTTTGTATTTAAGTAATTTATTAATCTTTCATGAATATATTGCATAAAAAAGAAGGTATTTTGTATTTAAGTAATTTATTAATCTTTCATGAATATATTGCATAAAAAAAGAAGGTATTTTGTATTTAAATAATTTATTTATTTTTCATGAATATATTATATGAAAAAGAAGGTACTTTTTATGGTAAAATGTTTGACGCGAGTATAATAAGTTTTATTATAAATAGTAAAGTTTTAACAATAAGTTAATCATTTTATAAAATTGTACTTAGAAATATTTTTATTTATTTTTTACATTTTTATGATAAATTGATAGTAATAATAAAATTAAGATAAATGTTATAATTAATATTTTGATAATAATTAAAAGATAATAAAAATAATTTAATAAGAAGTCACAAATTTAATAAGAAAGGGTAAAGTAATCTTTTGTGATAAATTTGTCTTTAATTACAACAAATTAATAATTTAATGAAGTAATTTGTAATTCAGAGGGATTGCTTGCAAAAGGGTAATAGTTTTTGCGCTTTATCCTTCTTTTTAATATGTAAAGGAGGTTGTAAAAGTCAAAAGTGAAAAGCCAGTTTTAGTTCAAATTCAAAAGAAGCCTTTACAAGAGATGTCCTCTTTTCATCTGGTTCTCGTCCCTTGGGTGAATGAAAACTCATTTTAAAAATAAAAATAAAAAATCAAAACCAAAAAAATAATTGTTTAGGCATTCAAATATTCAAATTTGTCAATTTCCCTATGTATGTATGTATGTATTTTTTTTTTTTTTTAACAAGAAACTTAAACACCTATCTTGTCCTAGCCCAATTATCAAGTAGGATGTACTCACGTTCCATGATAAGTAATTTTTTATTTATTTATTTTGGGATCTAATTTTTAATATATTTTTATTGTATTAAAAATGAATGAATTATTAAATTTATTCATAGTGAGTCATAAAGATGTAATGATTTATTTTTATAAATTTAGTGGAAGAAGATTAAAATGGTAATATTATATTGACTTTTTAATTAAGATAATAAATGTCCGACAATCAAAAACAAAAAAAAATAAACTCTATGAAATTTATGAGGTATTAGAACAACTCCATCAGTGCTCTTTTTGGCAAAAGTGACCCAATTTTTGGAATATGAGAAAAGTGGGCCCCAAGTTTAGGCTCTTGATGGAGGTCGCCAGAAATCAAGATTGGGTTGGTGATTGGGCTCACTTTTTGTGGATCCATTTTTGTTTTCTTTTATTTTTTAAATTCAGGCCAGAACACTGTATGAGCCTAGAATACTATTTCTAAAGGCATGTTTGGCTGAAATAAAAGCTAAAATTCAGATTTTTTGCTTACTTCGGTTTTTTTTTTTTCCTCAAAATAATTGAACCAAAGAGCCGTTAAGGCACTGTTTGGTTGACACAAACAGTGCCTTAAATGATTTTTTGGGCAAAAAAAAGTTTTAAAAAATTAGAAAAAATTGATTTTTTTTCGTTTTCAAATTTTTCAATGTTCCTATTGACACTATAGCCGTTTTAGATACTGTTTGGCTGACCCAAACAGTGCCTTGACGGTTATATTGGTTAACCAAATAATTTTATTTATTTATTTATTTGATTTCCCTGAAAAATTGAAAAATATAGCCGTTAGGAAAAAGTTAAAAAATAAATTTTATTTTAAATTATAAAAATATTAAAATATTAATATTTTTAGAGAGCGAAAATACATCATTGGAGTATATGCGATAGCTAAAATTTAGAAACTCTAAAATGTTAACGTGACTATGAGAAATGTTTATGTAACTATTAAAAAATACTGATATAATAAATTCAGAGAGTCTAATTTTAAAGAGTTTATTGGAGATGTTCTTAGCCAGTGTAATGTTTGGATGTAGGTTGAATCAATTTACTGTTTGAATTGAGTAATCAAACACTAAGTGTAATTTTTGAAAAGGACATTAACGGTACACCCACCGAGGTCATGAACTGTGATTGATGTAAACATACTCTTAATATTATTGATAAACAATGACTCAAGACCTTAATTATGGACTGACATTGGTTGATTAATTCAATAATTGTAGTGTGACTTGTCCCACGCAACTCGTAGAAGACGTTTCTCCATGAATGACTGACATTGGTTGACTTAAACGAGTCAAGCTGATTAACTCAATAGTTTCGGTCTCTCTCCGCGTGTAGTGAAACTATTTCATTGAACCGAAGCCAAGGGGCAAGAGCTTAAACTAGTATATATAATACAAACAAACACCAAATCCTTTTCATGTCTATTTTTTGTTTAATACTCCGGTACTTGGTTTGACCGGAGATTTAACAACCTTTCCATCTATGGTTGAGCAGTGAGCACTAGAAGATTGTCATTATCGTTCAATAATATATAAATATATATATTATTTTTATTGTTAGTTAAACTCTATTAAATAAACATGGGAAAAATAAAAAGAAAAAATATCAATGGACTGACTTGATGTCATCTCATCAATGTCTAGTAATTGTACGACTGTTCCACTAAATTTGATAACTCTTACTAATCATTCAATGGAATATCAGTCACCATTAAAACATGATAAGAAGGCAAGCACCAATGAGTGTGTCTCGAGATTAGGGTGCAACTTGGTGGGTTGGGCAATGCCAATTTAATTCGGTTCAATTTTTTATGACTGGTTTAGATAATTATTTTTATAATTAGAAATAAGATTGCATTGAAAAATTGCAACACAAACTTAATTAGACTTGGATTTGAATTGACGTGCTAAAAATTCGAGCCTAAATTTTAATATTATTTATATACACAATTTTTTTAATTTAAAATGCATTATATGCAATGTTTAAATTATGATTATTATTATTATTTTTTTAAACTTTCTTGGTTAAATCTTAATTTATTGTATATTAACATATAATAGATTTAATTTCTAAGAATTTATTTGTAATTTATTAAAAATTTGCAATAAGTTGTTTTTCAAAGACTAATTTAATCTAAAACTAATTCAAGGTCACATTAAATTTTCACAGTAAAGATTAACCATATGAATAATCCGAATTAACTCGATTTTCTAACTTGAAATTTAAGTCCGAATTGTAAATTCGAATTTAAAAATAAAACAATGAATTTGATTCAGGTTGAGTAATTAGGATTGAAGATAAGAGTAAAGTTAGATTCGAGATAAATATTTCATACATCTGCGTCGGATTAGGCTCAAATAATAATCCTGTTGCAGGCCCTACTCAAATAGACTTGACATAGGAGTAATAAATTTCATTATACCAACTAAATTTTGTGGCGTTGTTTTAGTCTTTGTATGGTGGGTCTCCTTCCAGGAGGTTGCATGGAAGATTACATATGGGACCAAATTTTTTTTTCATATTAATTGGGTAAACACACCAAAAGTTGTAACATCAATTTGGCCATATATTTGACACGTTCCTTAATTTGATTACGCTTTATGTCCCTCAAAATGAAGTGTGAGGTAATAATTATAAATTAATGGATATATGAGCCGAGTTGCATGTCCTATAAATAAAGGACCTGCCTTGCACGGTATTACCACCATTCATAACCCTTTCACAAGGTTTCCCAAACTATATCCCATATACTCTCTCTGTCTCAGACTACTTCATATTCGCCAAACAAAAAAGATGAAGGTAATTTAATTTGATCACGAAAGAAATTGCTATTATATCATTTCTGCAGTTGCAAAGAATTTTATAAATAAATATATATATCCTAAGATGAATTTGTGTATTTGGTTGCAGCAAAAGATGGTAATTAAACTGCAATTAAATGACCAGAAGGGTCGCTCCAAAGCCCTCCAGATTGTAGTTGGTATTTCAGGTAACAAAACTTTTTCATCTTCAAGGAAACATGTACATATATGTAGCTAGTTTGATGGAACTCAACTTTAATTTGGAGGATTGATTGTATGTAATCAATATTTTTATGCGTGTGTTGTGCAGGAGTGGAGTCAGCAGCTTTACAGGGTGCGGACAAGGACGAGATAGTGGTAACCGGAGATGGGGTGGACGCGGTTGTGCTGACGACGGCGCTGAGAAACAGCAAGAGCAAGAGCATAGGCTATGCCGAGCTGGTAAGCGTCGGCGAAAACAAGAAAGAGGAGGAGAAGAAAGAGACCAAAAATGAGGCCGTTGTGTATCCTACCCCGACTTGGACCTGTTACGCCCAGTACCCGCAAAATCGCCAAATGGTATATGAACATCCCACTCAAGACAATTGCTCCATTATGTGATTAATTGCATAAAATGGAGTGGAATTTGTGTCGGTTTTCAGAGGAATTTGTATTTGTAGAAGCGAATTAATAATATTCCAGGTTGATGATGCTTGTTTGTGAGATAATTATTCTATATATACACTCTGATTTTTTGTTTTTGTTTTTGCCAGAACATATACAAATAACAAGTTAGTCCATGTATTGTTATTCAACTTGCACTAATATAAAGTATGTGTTGTCTTATTCAACTTTCACTAATATAAAGTACAAGTCTTTGAACCAACGAGTCCTTTTAAACAGGACTTGGTGTTGCTCCACTTTATTCGAAAGATAACCAACTTTGTAGAGTGTGATCTGAAAGTACAAATTGAAATATTTCAAACTCATTAAAAAATATGGATCATTCAAGAATCAAGAGTATAATTTTGAATTGCTCTAACCAACAGAGAACCTAATTAGATCCATTTTATGAAGCATAGCTACAGTAATTACTCGATGATGATAAATCGAATGATACAAATTAGGTAGAGACATAGAAGTAATTTCTCAAGGTGACTGGAGTTTCTCGTTATATATACCAGTAGCCTCTGTGTCCTCCATATCTAAAAAACAAACTCATCTAGGCATGTCAACTCAGCACAAAAGGTAAAGATTTTTATGTCAAAATAATTAACAATATGAAGCTTAGGTGTTGAAGCCAAGTGTTCAAAACTTGTGACGACGTACTCCTTGTTTACCACCAAGCCGTTGGCTAGCTCGCAGCCAAGAGAAATTAGCAGTTCAAGTGTCTCTGTGTGTTTTTTACACACCCATTATCCAAGAACTTTGTGGTATGTGTGAGTGTGCAGAACATTTATACAAGTAATATACACACAGACATATATTATGATATCTAGAAATATGTATATATATACATATATAATTAATTAATTGACTTGTAGCATGATAAAATTTACCTACCATCTGCTCTAAAAGTTTAAATAATTAGAGAAAGTATAATTTCTAGTATTTAATTTTTTTTTTAAACTCTGTGTCATATATGGTCGCCTTTTAGTGTTACACATTTTAGGACTTTCCCTAACATTATTCAATATTAGTCCTGTTCATGCAAGGTGCCAGGAGCAGGAGGTCAGATCAGTTTCAAGTGACTACTATGGCATCTTCATGGTTAGGCCATATTGTTGAAAATATCTTGAAAGTAGTCAATTCTATAAGTGAACTAAAAATGATTAAGTTAAAAAAAAGAAGCACCTCTGAACTTTACTCTCTCCCATGAAATTCATTTTTACAAAAAAAACCCACTTAAACTATTCCATTTTTTGCAAAAAGAACTGCCAACACTGTTTTTCTGATTTTGAAAATGACAATTTTACCCTTATAACTGTTACTATATGAAATCAAGAAAAGTCACAAATTGAACCCCGATGTGTTAACCCTAACTCCCATTAACTACATTCCCTACCATATCTCCATCTCTCTATGGAGTCTCATCCTGTGCAAATCTTTTCAACAAATGATGGGTATATATATGCACACCATATATGTATAAAGTTAAAAACTCTCAAATTTGTTATTCAACCACAAACCATCTTGCTGGAAGATGATGGATATAACACACAATATAACTTCTTTCAATCGTTCTTTTGCTCATTTTTTGAAGATGGGAATTGCCGAATCATTAATCATTGGAGAAAAAATCCAACATTTTTAGGCAACCAAGAGCATAGGGCTGCAACTCGTGCGAGACGTTGGAGACTTAACTCATGTTCAACCCATATACAAAATCTTCTGCCCAAGTCCAGCCCGATCCCACCTAAAGCCCCAACCACCCAAGCCCAGCCCATACTTAACTTGTCCAGCCCAAGCTCGCCCATGAGCCTGCCCTAATCCCACACCTTTGTACAGCTACAAGGACTCAAACAACATACCTCTAAGAAAAATCTCAAACACATTATCAACTAGGCTCCCATACACACTTGTGATATAGTTTAGTTATGAATAAATATATCATTTCCGAGCTCGGACTAGGCTGGGCTTCGAGTTTTATATAATATCAACCCAAGCCTAGATCGAATTTAATTTGGGCTCAAAATATCTAGCCCAGGCCCAAACCAAGAATAAAAAAAATTGCCTAAGCCCTGAATATTTCTGGCTGGGCTCGGTTTAATTCAGGTTGGGTCCACCCGAGTTGCAACCTTACAAGAGCATAATCAAATTCCATAAAAATTGATGAAAGCCCAACCTCAAACTCCATGACCACCAATGAGAAGCTCTAAGCATCAATGACGCAATTGCAACGACCAAACCAAATAAGTGACTGAAGTCTTATTTCGGTGAACCTCAAATAGATACAACTAATAAACCTTTCTGGTGAGCATCATACAGACTTAGCTAACTTAATGGTGAACATTTTTGAAGACCCAAACCGTGAAATTCATTAAAGACCCAGTTGGTCGGTGAAGCCGACAGTAGAAAGTTGTGATTGGTTGGCAATATCGCCAGTTGTGGAGAGCAAGAGTGTAACAAATAACGTAGAGAGAAAAAGAGTGTTCTATACATGTTGTGTTTTGCGCTAGAATAAGTAGTGTAAGAATGTGTTTGGCAGTGGTGCTAAGTTGTTATTGTGATAAGGTAATTTGTTGTCATAATACTACTGGTTGTTCATATTGCATTTGACACGTCAGTAACAGCAGGTGCTAAAACAATAAAACGACAACATCCCGCTATAGGGTAATTTGGTAATCTAACATTGTTCAGTGACCTTCAGTGACGGTGACGTTTGATTTTGTCCATAGAGTGCACTTTTTTATAGTTCAAGGAGCAATTCTTAGTCTCGGATTTTTCATGAAATTGGCTGATAGTTCAGGGTTTTTTTTAACACTTTACCCTAACGAATACTATGTTGAACGATGTGGATCTTGTCATGGACCAACGTAGAGAGGAGAATGGATATTAGCTATTGTAGTTGTTAGAATGTTTTGATAGACGTACTTACGAGAAAATTTTCTTACCCTGTTTTCGTTACAAGTGAGTTGGAACTTCTTTAGAACTCTGTTGTAACATGGTATGTAAGGGCGATGAGGGATTTGAGTGATAACTAGAGATGCTGAAAATCAAAGGAAAGAGATTAAGTTAAAGTGAGAGTTAGGGTTTGGGAGTTGAAACTTGTAATTTCCTGATTTTTGAATAGTAAAATCTTTCGTTAAATATTCACCGTGGACGTAGGTACAATTTATGTGGCGTTTTTACCTTTTTGTTGTGATTCACAATTTATTCTTGGTTGTCGGCATAGATTCCTAAACAATATTAAATACACAAATTTCATATAAAAAAATTATTCCAACATGTCCTCTAAATTATAGTTTCACAATTGATGCTTAATTTTTAATATTGTTTACCTTTGTTACAAATTTATAATAAAGATTTTGTTGAATAATGCCCCAAGAAGAAATTGATCTTAAATTTAAAATTGAGATCTTGAGATGTTAATATTGTGCTACAAGAAGAGAATCCTACAGCACATTTTTCTTAAGATATATTCTTGTCAGTTGATGCTCAAAAATACTAAATCAAATCAGATTTTGAGTGTTTAAGTAACACATGTTCAATTAGGGGTGGTCATGGATCAAATCAGATTAGGCCTCAATCCTAATCAGATCCCAACGGATTAAAAAAATCTGAATCATTCACCGATCCATTATCTTACGGATCGGATCCGTTGAATGATAGATCGAATCGGATTGGATCCGCATATTGGGATTTTTCTTAAATAGTCAAATATTATTTATTTTTTGACCATAACCCAATAGATGAAATTTCAATTTATCACCATTAATTCATATATTTAAATGATCATTAATTAATACATTATTAGAATCCATTAAATGATCATCAATTAATTAAATTAACTAATATATTCTTTGAATATATATATATATCTCATGGATCGAATCAAATCAGACTCACGGATCGGATCGGATTTTTAATAGCCCAATCTGTAATCTGATCCGTGAGCTATAGATTAGATTTTTTTTAATCCGCCACCGATCTGTGAGTGTAAAAATACGGTTCGATCCGCACGGATCAAATTGGATTCACAGATTATTTGCGCACCCCTAGCTTCAATAGTAGAAAGGAAGAGATAGAAGATGATTTGTGACCTTACTGCTGACCTCGTCCCTACCTATTAAATATGCTAGGAAGCATGAAAACTTCTACGAATGAGCCGTACTCGTGTTGGACACCGACACTCCTCGAATTCGTTTTCGACACTTCATATACGTGTTCATAATTAAGAATTAATTTTATTATTTCGAACACTTCGTCGACACTTCCGGAACATTTCTAACATAACTCTACCCAGAAATTTTGAAAATAATATGAATATTATCATGACCAAGTAGTGAAATAATATCATATATAATATAAAAATCATTACAAAAAATGACATAATTTCATTTTCTAATTCATTTCATATCAACTCTTAGTATAAAAATTATAAATGAATTAAAGTTTTATAATATTATTACTGAATAAATGTATAAAATAAATTTTTTATTTATATGTAGCTGTGTCTACCCTGTATTCGTAACTTACTTTTTTAAATTTTGACATATCAACATATTTGTATCATATTATATTTGTATTTTGTATTTATATCCGTGCTACGTAAAATATGCATATACAACAAGTGCGCCAACCATGGGCCACGTGATCACGCTTATCTCCACAAATAACGTGTGAGGTAATTATTAATCGGTCAGCTAAGTAGTCCTATAAATAGAGGTATTACCATTCCTAACAAGCACCATTCAAGAACCCTTTCACAAGGTTGCCAAAAATCATATCCCATATACTCTGTCTCAGACTACTTCGGGTGCATCATATTCACCGAACAAAGAAGATGAAGGTAATCATAACCTTTTAATTTCTTCAGTTGCAAATAATTATATATATATATATATATATATATATATATATATATGTCCTAAGTTGAATTTGTGTATTTGGTTGCAGCAAAAGATGGTGATTAAACTGCAAATAAATGACCAGAAGGGTCGCTCCAAAGCCCTCAAGATTGTAGTCGGTATTTCAGGTAACAAAACTTTTCATCTTCAAGGACACAAGTACATATATGTAGCTAGGTTGATGAAACTTGATAGCCTTAATTTGGAGGATTGATTGTATGTAATCAATATTTTTATATGTATGTTGTGCAGGAGTAGAGACAGCAGCTTTACAGG